GAATGATGCACTCAATACAATACAGTAAAACCTGTGTAGAATGCAGTGAAACATATACAACAGTAAAATCCATATGTAAGTAAAACACAGTAAAACCTAAGTAACTGGAATGCCTTTGTTAAATCAAAACAATGCATGTTGGAGGTGTTCCAAAAACAGATATGTTCCACTTTACAGGTTTTACTTTATGGGTAAACTGCTTCCAGATATAAAGTAATTTGGTGAATTAACATCCAAATTGAATAAAAATTGCTTTCGTTCTTTTGATACAGGGGTGCACTTGACGGTACATAATCATCTTGCTTAACACCTCCTCCTCCGCTCTCTCTTTACAAAGAAACCTTGTTAAAAGATAAAAGCAATCTGGTTAATCAGAATGGTTCGTAATGAATAGAAACAGCTATCGCGGGAGTATTTAATTAATTTGTACCGTTAGTTAGTATTGCAAAGTATAGCGATTAACAAGTAAACTAGCTGTATGTTATTTAATTTATTCATTCAAGGCCAATAACAATGGCATAACTTGCCAATAAATGCCATAACGTAACAAATATAATGTTATACTGTAAAAAGGATGTAAGGAGAGATGGGTGGGAGTACCATTATCATTATTGGTACACGTAATAACTGATATTGCATTGTTATGGCATCAGAGTCAATTAAAGATATTTATAATACCTTCATCTAGCTTAATCTTATTATAACACATATTTTATGTACCTTAACCAGTAGTTGGGTGATTTAACCAAATGATAGCATGATTTACCAGTTAACCCTCACAGTCACAACCATCTCTCTGCTGTATGTTTAAGACTTGAGATCACAGGTTAATCTCACAAATCACAAATAATAGAATAAGGTGTCTATACTTGCTGTTTAGTTTGGCAGTCTCTCACTTCTTAATGTTACACGAATCTGTATCAGATTTGAAAATGGATGGAAATAAAACCGTGCTCCCTTAAAAATTTGAAATATAATTCACAAAATGGTTATCTATTTACTTTCCAGTTGAATCTGAGGCTCCATGTTATGTTAAAGGATTCTAGCTGATAAAAATAACAAAATATTGCTTCTGGGACAAGATCGAATGACTTTTACATATTTTTTAACCTACCTATTTTGTAATTTATAAATATACATACATTTCAGCAGATATCAAAAAAATTCATAAAAATCTTTTTTGATCGATAAAATCATGGATTACAAAACTGGAAGTGTTTTCTCTGAGGTCCGTGTGGAATATTTTAATTATTTCAAATTTTGCCGTTGATTCGATTTTAAATGCTTCTTATGTTCTTAAAATGCTTACTATGATTTCTATTTGTAATGTTATGACTTCCCTGCTTCATTAAAACAACGTTATCATTACTCAACTCGAAAATTCATTTCCTGTCTATCGTAATAAAGAAGAGCTGAAAGTTCTCGTGAACACCTTTCAATCCTTAGTCTAAATATGGCTTTTCAAAGTTCAATAGACAACTTTGAATGGACCTGCATGCATAGTTTGAAAATAGAATCATCAGAGAAGGTTTTAAACCATGAAATCGACTCTAAAGTCTGAAAGATATTTGTTTGAACCATTTTGTCAGCTGTATGTTACAATGTGCCTTTATGTATTCAAAACAAGTCCTTATTTATACATTGCACAGGATTTTTACATTATACCCCTGCAAACTTGTGATTCTAATTAACATTGCTGTAGAGCTGGCGTCGTCTGTTGGAATGGTCAATTGTATGCTCTCAAGAGACACAAAAAACTATCTTAGATTTTTCAAGAAATCAAATGTACTAAAATACTGCAAAAACAATTGAAACACTCCACAAACAAAAACACAAAGATCAGGGGTGTAGCGAGGATCTAAAATAAGACGTTTGCAATGTTTTTTTTCAAAAACAATGATGTTTTGTTTCGGTCTAGATGCATCATCACCAAAATCATTTATGACGATGATCCTGGAGATGATTATCTCTTGTGTATTGACAAAAGTATTCTCTGAAGAACTTCTTCAACAGAGATGGTCTCAAAGAGCCTGCCATCGTCACACTTGATGGTGACGAAATGATGATTGACAAATATAACAATACCACTCAGCATACACTAAAAAGCAGTAATCTAAGAAGCACTTCTAAATTATGATTCTTACCTGACATGGTCACCAATGTTTGCCTTCAGTGCTTTCAACTCAAACGTCAAAGATGTAACCCTGTGAAGAAGGGCATGTTTTTCTTTTTTCAAATTTTTTACATCCACTTGTAATTCAGCAATGAGACATGCCTGATTCCTTATGAGCGTATCCTTTTCATTTAATAACTCTTCGGTAATCTCCATGTTGTTCTGTTGAATCGACATATCCGTATTGACTGGCATTCACTCAAAACATAAGCAGAGAGACTTTTCGGTCATGTTTCAGGATTTTGAAAATCAACTTTGAGTGGAGCTAGCAAAAATACAATCAGTAGTTTCGTACTAAAATGATTTTACTATTTCAATATAATAAGATAAATATTTTTGTATTAAAAACTAATGTACCATTTTATAAAATATATATATATTTATATTATATTAACACCATATGTTGACATTAATTTCTGCATAATTTAAATATACAGACGCTAGCTCTAAACTGAAGTGGATAATCCATGTGGATGATCTGAAGTAGCTGAAAACAACTGAACACACAAGCACAAACAATTAAGTGTAAAAGTCTATAAGTCTAAAATTAGATGAGGCAAGTATTAAAAGGTGAGGCAAATTTATATTAAATGAGGTTTATTACTTACTAACTTTGAACACTTCTATTTCCACGCTTTTAAGAAAAATTAATCAGTAATCCTTAATTAATTAATCCTCTTAGTCGAAAAATTATATTTTCAACAGGAGCACCAATGTTCATCATTAGAATGCAAAGATGCTTTCCAAAAAAAAACTCAAGAAGTACATTTTATTTTTGACCTGAAAATGACATGGGCACATTGTATCTCAATTTAGATTCACTGTTAACTCCTACAAATTGAATAAATACCCGTGTGAAAATTGAATTAAAGGTGCAATAATGTTTGTTTATTCAACGATAATAGGACCAGTGTCAATATATATTTTACTTTGGATATTTCATCAAGACTAACATATATTTTTATTATCTCCAATGGCAAAGAAACCCCCTGGATGAACCTCATATCAGCTGATATTCCTCTTGAAACATGGTGGATCTTGAAAATCTATAAGTGGGACTCCATTTATAGAAGCTTTGAACTGAATTTACACTTGGTAATGATGATATTGTTAGTTTATCCATACATTTTGAGAAAATAGAAGATGTTAAACCAAATGTTGCCCTAATAGCTCAGGGAAAGTAAAAATTTTCGAATTTCTTCTCTACAGCCCTTGTTGCCCCTTTAATTTGCAAATATTGCGGTATATACTGTACCAAACCATCACACAATATCATCTTTTGGATGATAGTGGTTTTATTAACATGTAAACTCCACTTAGCAACACGATAGAATGAACTGTATTTTATTTTAAAGAATATCCAGCTGTAACAAAGAGAAGTGCATTATTTTTATATTTCTAAAGAGTGAACACTTGACAAAATACAATTAACTGTCACATGCAGTGTGGTAAAGCTAAACTAATTATACCTTATTAACATTTGATACTGGCCAAGTGGTCTAGGGGTATGATTTGCGCTTAGGGTTGGAGGTCCATCCTGGTTTCAATTCCTGGCTTGGCCCTACATATTTTGTTCCAATTAGCATCAAGGGTTTTTATATAGGCCTGTTAATGGTCAATTTCTTTACCTTTTTCAAATCATCATTATATTATCTAGGTGAACTCTTTTTAGGTTTTGCAGTATATTAAAGAAGGTTTGCATAGTCTATTGCTGGTGCAAGTCTTATTTTTAAATTGCAGGCTGTTAATTTTCTTTTGGTGTAAGTGAGGTTATAGTCTGAGCCATTTTAGCCCTTTTATCAATGTATGGTTTAAGATCTGAACATCTATCTGCTCATACAGCCATTCCATTTCAGTTGCAGCTAACCTCAATCTGAAAGTCCGAATCTGAACACCTCTCGATGAGAACACTTTTTCAGTCCCAATTTTTAATTTATATATTAGTGTTAAAATCTCAGAATCGTGAAACACATTTGGCGAGTCCCAGTGGTGTTGTGATTAGGCAATTACTGTGTACTGTAATTCTTTACATTCTTGAGTGTTTAGGCCAGTTTAGGGAATATATATCCTTGCTGATTCTATTGTTCTTTTAATTGAAATTATATAAAGAATCTCAGAATGTGTCTTTCTTCATACTTCAATGTTTATTGTGTACATATCAGCTATACAGCATTTTACAAATATCTCAAATATGCAAAAGCAATGTAAAACACATTGTTGTTACATAAAGAATGAAAATATATTATTCAATGATCAACGTGCAGTTCTAACTTGGAGCTTTTACACAATGTCATAGTCTCACAAAGAGACATCAATTGCATATAAGACAAAAAGCATATAGGGCAAAAAGCATATAAGATAAAAAGTATATAGGGCAAAAAGCATATTAGATAAAAAAAAGTATATTGTACAATATGCATACGAGGAATTTAAGCAAGTTTATCATATATGTAACCAGGTTACATGTTCAAAATCACGCATGACATCCAGGGGGTGGAAACACATACAATGTAGAAAATATGCTACGAAAACCATCAATTTATTCAAAAATGGTTTTACTTTGTCACATGTGAATGTTTTGACGTTCTTCCCCACCTTTCAATACACTCATCATGTTCCAAGTACATCGGGGGGGGGGGGGAGGGCATTAAGTTGTTACAAATTGACAACCAAAGCTCTTTTTCAAAGATTAACTATAGAATTTATTACAAAATCAAACTATTTCTTTGGTTAACCCCATATTATGGAAAAACTAGATGGATGGCTGTCAACTTATAACAACCTAACACTCCTCACTCTGTATTGGGAACAGGATAAGAGTATTGCTAGGTAAGGAAACACGACAAAATGTTCACAGACTACCAAATAGAATTACACCTACCTCTTTTTCAAATGAAAATACTCTACAAATTTTCCACCCCCTGATATATATGTTATACATAATAAATGAACTTATCCATACTCGCTAAAGCTCAATTGGTACATTTTTTAGAGTTTGTTTGCAATGTTATAAAATATCTGGATATTTATCTCCATATGATGGGGAATCAATCACAAAGTTCTCTCTGGTCACTATCCTCTTGGCAATGTTTATTAAACCAAAATGTCTCTAACTGTGTCCTTAAAAGTTTTTCAATAAATGCAGTGAAAATATCACATTAAATGTTCCAAAATCCTAAAACGCTTCTTGATAAAGTCAGTTAAAAAATGATCCACAGAGTGCTTATCATGGCAAAGAGAACTCCAGTCATATAGATGGCACTACTTCCACTAGTAGAGCACTGCGACTCCGGCTGCTTATCATAGAAATCTCCTTTTGGGAAATTCTGCGCATTTGCACCATAAAACACATCAGAAGTGGTTAACTTGCCAATCTGAAATATGATTAACATTAGAATAAAATATGGTTGGTAATTGAATTGAATATTTTGCATCTTAGAGATGTACTCATTAAGGGATGTTGCCTCAAAAGGGGTAATAAACAAAAGGAGCACAGCCAGGATCAGAAACTGGTGAGGCAAATTTAAATTTGTGAGGCTTTGAGGAAGTAATACTTCACAAGACTTTGACATCATAAAAATTTGGTGAGACTTTCTTTGCGGATTCCTCTCCTTTCCACTCTGTTTTGAAATTGATATTCACCATTTATCAAACGTGCGGACAAATATTTTAACCTACCTTCATTGGGGTTCCATCTAGCTGCCAGTAGAAAAAGTCATATTCATCAACACTCTCCCGATCTTTCATCTCAAAATCTCTGTCTGTAACAAGAAATAATGATATATGAGCTAAAGTCTCTCTCTATATAACAAGAAACGATGATATTCAAGCTAAATTTATTGAAAAATCAATGACCTGAAGACTCTACGATATAGAAAGCAACAAATGTCACGATTTTATGCTCTCTGGTCTTGTTTGAAGTGTTTACCTAGCCTTATCTAATTCACCACATTGTATGTAGTGGGGTCACATACACAAGGGCTTGTGGCTAGATTATATGCACTCTAGTGTGCTTAGCCATGTAGATTCTACACTCCCAAAATATTCAACATTATCATAATTAAATATTGTTCATTTATGAGCAAAGATGAAAAATACTAATGAATAACTCCTACTATTTATATCCATGAAGGACATTTCTTCCATCTTTTTAGTTAGATCCTCTCCAATGTTTCCTTCTTTAAAACTGTCACACACGGTTGTAACACCCTCTTGTTTGCATTTCTCCGTAAGTCTTTCAGCAGTGGCTCTACTAAGTGCGTACACTGCGTTTATCACATGAATGACATACGTGTCTTGGGAATAATGCAGAAGGCCAGTGACATTCTTTGTGACATCACAGGAAGTTTTGTTCTCTCCCTCCCCGCATTTGAACATATCTTCGAAGTACATATTGAAGAAAGGGTTCTGTGTTGTGTTGTATCTGAATAATTTAGATGAGGACACATTACGAGATACTTGTTCAACAAAGTTACATGACATTTGGAATGTATGCTTTGCAGTATTGAAGGAATCAGAAATAATCTATCTACTTATTTAAAATATGTCAGCAAATACAGTTTAAACACATTAACTTAGTATTTTGTGTAAGAACATCCTATACATATCTTTCAAAAGATATACACTCCCCTCGATAAGTTTGGCAACTGAAAATCTTCATTCCATAGCATATCAAGGCTTGTTAGTGTTTAAATCTTTACTTCATTCCTTTATTACAACAGTTCCAAAATTTATTACATATTTGAATTTTTTCAACAAACATGTACAGGCAAAAACAAAGAATTCAGAAAGAGGCTTCCAGTTGCCAAGCTTATGAAGTGGGGTGTAAAATGCTGTAAGATAATACAAGAACACAAACATGTACAACATGTCCCCACCAAAAAACAGATGTAGAATGAAGTGACTTAAAGAAGATGTTCAAGTTTTAAAAGTAACTGTGAACCATTTTCCCCAAAGTTTGCAGACAAGAATTTCAGCATTTGGCTTCAAAATGGCCGATAGGAAGTAGGTATTGAGTCAAAAGCTAACCCTGAAAATTTGAAGGTGAAATCTGAAGCGGTTTGGGAGAAAACTGCTGGACATACAGATGGACAGACAGACAGATGCGCCTACTAGGCCTACAATATGGCCCCACACTATGTGGTGGGGACATAAAAATGGGTTTGTGCAAAAAACCGGGTGACTGGGTAGCCGGGTGGCCGGGTAACCGGGTACTTAACGTTCCTTGCAGGGTTACCAACTTTCAAAGTTGCACATTTGTAGACTACCCTTGAGTACTTTTACATTATCATTTTACCAAGAACCAAGACTGAATTTCGGAACTCCTAGGTAGTTCTTTACACAGTTTACACATACGATGACGTTAGTTGCTTGATTTATTGTCTGAGTGATTGACAGGATATCGATGATTGTTTTCTATGATGAAGATTTATGTACACGTAAATTGAAACGTTATTTGCCGTTTTTATCTGTTAATTTAGTGTACGATGTACAATACAACGTTAGTTGCTTGATTTTCAGGTTGATTGTCATTATATTCATTTTGTTTGTCGTTTTGCCAGTGGTTAATAAATTTTGTTGCTTGTTTGGTTGATTGGTTGTGTCACTGGTACGTTGATTGGGATGTCAGTTGGGCGTTTTGAGGCATGAAATGAAAAAATCAAATTCCTAACCCTGGTAGGAAGGTAGGCTACCCGTTTACCTGGCTACCCGTTTACCTAGTAACCTGTTTTTTTACACAAACTCCATAAAAATGAGAAAGATGTGCCTCACCTAAGGCTAGCTAAGTGTTTATCAAAGGCTTGAACATCCTCCCCATATATAGCAATAGACACTGATCCCATTGCAGCTTCCTCGACACCTTCTACAATATGTTCCGCATGTGCCCATGTCTCAGAACCCACAAATACTAAGCCTGAAAAAGATTTCAAATAATCTGTAGAAAAACTCTTCAGTCAACATTAAACCAGAACAACGGCAACACCAAAGCGTAGCGAATCCCATCGAACAGAAATGGCTTGCATTTTTACAAATATATAGCAAATATCATAAAATAACACACATAAAAAAGGCCAGCATTTTCAAAATGGTTGCTCACTAGTCAAGTTGTCTTCAGAAGAAGTAATATGCTTTTAAGTAGCCACATATAAGATTTTTAAAAATCGCACACACATACATGTAACTGGTAGCCACTTTTTGCAACCCTTACGAGTATTCACATATCAAATATGAACAAAATCGCTCTATTACTTTTTGAGTTATAATAAAAAATGTAGAATAACACACATAAAAATAGTGGTCATTTTTTGAAATGACCGACTACTCCCCGAAGTTTTATTAGACAATGTGCCATGCTTAAAGTATTCACATATCAAATATGAACAAAATCCCTCCAATACGTTTCGAGTTATAGTAAAAAATGTAAAAATGACAGCCTTTTTTTAAAATGGCCACCTACTATCGAAGTATATCGAAGAGACAGTGCACAAGGCTTGCGACCATTAGTATTTACATATCAAATATGAACAAAATCGCTCCACTACTTTTCAAGTTATAGTAAAAAACGTAAAAATTGCCAATGGCCGACTACTACCCAAAGTGTCATTAGACAGTGTGCCATGCTTATAGTATTTACATGTGAAATATGAACAAAATCACTCCACTACTTTTTGAGTTGTACTAAAAAATGTAAAATAGCACACGTAAAAATGGTGGCCATTTTTCAAAATGGCCGCCTACTACCCAAAATGTCATTAGACATTGTGCCATGCTTAAAGTATTCACATACCAAATATGAACAAAATCGCTTCACTACTTTTTGAGTTACAGTCACGTAAAAATTGCGGCCATTTTTCAAAATGGCAGCATACTACCCAAAATGTTATAAGACATTGTGCCATACTTAAAGTATTCACATACCAAATATGAACAAAATTGCTCCACTACTTTTCAAGTTAGAGCAAAAATCTTAAAATGGTGTGCAAAGGCAGCCATTTTTCAAGATGGCTGCCATGTATTTCTTCTTTATTTACATTTCTAGCTTAATCAATGTCCTATATAACATTTTTACATTTAAAACATATTGCTGTAACAGTTTTATATGCAGAATTCTAAATTACTGTAAAATCGGCACTAAAATGACCGCCATTTTTAAATGAGCGGCCATTTTTAAAATCAATTTTTGAGCAGAACTTCTACCCCCATTGGGTATATGTGTACAAAATATGAACAAAATCAAGCCAAAGGTATTTGAGTTATTGCCCGGACGGACGGACGGACGGATAGACGGACGGATGGACGGAGGTGCTCCCTATATCCATCCTAACTTCGTTCGATGGGATAAAAAGGGTTTATCAGAAAGAAGGGGAGTTTAGACCTTGGTTACATACTTTTTCATGCTTGAATGAATATAATAAATCAGATTTAGTAGGTAGTACTTTCCCAAAAATATTTCAATTTGAGAATATTTTTGATATCACATTTTAAACATCTGATCTTTTGTTGGAATAAGATTTATATGACATGGTCCACAAGACATTGGTAGGTCAAAGCTCCCTGTTGTTTGCAATTTTGCCACCCTCTTTCAATCAAAATCCGCCTTTCTGATACTAATCAAGTTAAGACTCTAAATTAATATATTCAACATACCACAATAACCTTCCATAAAAAGACTCAAAAGTAAGAACACATTCTTAAAGAATATTCTATTTTAATTCTTACAAAATCACTTTTATAATAAGAATAAAAAATGCAACTAATTTTAAATTAAAGAAACATACGTATTTCATAATCATTTTTTAGAATGAACCTATAGCTAAAAGTGTTAAGTAAATAAAGTAAAGTACAACACTGCTGTAAAGTGGAACACCTCTGTAAACTAGAACACTCTGTAAAGTAGAGCACCTCTGTAAACTAGAACACTCTGTAAGCTAGAACATCTCTGTAAAGTAGAAGACCTCTGTAAACATAACACTCTGTAAAGTAGAACACCTCTGTAAAGTAGAAGACCTCTGTAAACTAGAACATCTCTGTAAAATAGAACACCTCTGTAAACTAGAACACTCTGTAAAGTAGAAGACCTCTGTAAACTAGAACACTCTGTAAAGTAGAAGACCTCTGTAAACTAGAACATCTCTGTAAAATAGAACACCTCTGTAAACTAGAACACTCTGTAAAGTAGAACACCTCTGTAAACTAGAACACTCTGTAAAGTAGAAGACCTCTGTAAACAAGAACATCTCTGTAAGCTAGAACATCTCTGTAAAGTAGAAGACCTCTGTAAACATAACACTCTGTAAAGTAGAACACCTCTGCAAAGTAGAAGACCTCTGTAAACTAGAACATCTCTGTAAAATAGAACACCTCTGTAAAGTGGAACACCTCTGTAAACTAGAACACTCTGTAAAGTAGAAGACCTCTGTAAACTAGAACACTCTGTAAAGTGGAACACCTCTGTAAACTAGAACACTCTGTAAAGTAGAGCACCTCTGTAAACTAGAACACTCTGTAAAGTAGAAGACCTCTGTAAACTAGAACATCTCTGTAAGCTAGAACATCTCTGTAAAGTAGAAGACCTCTGTAAACATAACACTCTGTAAAGTAGAACACCTCTGTAAAGTAGAAGACCTCTGTAAACTAGAACATCTCTGTAAAATAGAACACCTCTGTAAACTAGAACACTCTGTAAAGTAGAAGACCTCTGTAAACTAGAACACTCTGTAAAGTAGAAGACCTCTGTAAACTAGAACATCTCTGTAAAATAGAACACCTCTGTAAACTAGAACACTCTGTAAAGTAGAACACCTCTGTAAACTAGAACACTCTGTAAAGTAGAAGACCTCTGTAAACAAGAACATCTCTGTAAGCTAGAACATCTCTGTAAAGTAGAAGACCTCTCTAAACATAACACTCTGTAAAGTAGAACACCTCTGCAAAGTAGAAGACCTCTGTAAACTAGAACATCTCTGTAAAATAGAACACCTCTGTAAAGTGGAACACCTCTGTAAACTAGAACACTCTGTAAAGTAGAAGACCTCTGTAAACTAGAACACTCTGTAAAGTAGAGCACCTCTGTAAACTAGAACACTCTGTAAAGTAGAAGACCTCTGTAAACTAGAACATCTCTGTAAACTAGAACATCTCTGTAAAGTAGAAGACCTCTGTAAACTAGAACACTCTGTAAAGTAGAACACCTCTGTAAAGTAGAAGACCTCTGTTAACTAGAACATCTCTGTAAACTAGAACATCTCTGTAAAATAGAACACCTCTGTAAACTAGAACACTCTGTAAAGTAGAAGACCTCTGTAAACTAGAACATCTCTGTAAAATAGAACACCTCTGTAAAGTGGAACACCTCTGTAAAGTAGAAGACCTCTGTAAACTAGAACATCTCTGTAAAATAGAACACCTCTGTAAATTGGAACACCTCTGTAAACTAGAGCACTCTGTAAAGTAGAAGACCTCTGTAAACTAGAACACTCTGTAAAGTAGAAGACCTCTGTAAACTAGAACATCTCTGTAAAGTAGAACACCTCTGTAAAGTGGAACGCCTCTGTAGAATAGAACACTTCTTTAAGTGGAACACCTCTGTAAAGAGGAAGACCTCTGTAAAGTAGAACACCTCTGAAAAGTTGAAATCCTCTGAAAACTAGAGCACCCTGTAAAGTAGAAGACCTCTGTAAACTAGAGCATCTCTGTAAAGTAGAGCACCTCTGTAAACTAGAACATCTCTGTAAAGTAGAACACCTCTGTAAACTAGAACACTCTGTAAAGTAGAGCACCTCTGTAAACTAGAACATCTCTGTAAAATAGAAGACCTCTGTAAAGTAGAGCACCTCTGTAAACTAGAACATCTCTGTAAAGTAGAAGACCTCTGTAAACTAGAACATCTCTGTAAGCTAGAACATCTCTGTAAAGTAGAAGACCTCTGTAAACATAACACTCTGTAAAGTAGAACACCTCTGTAAAGTAGAAGCCCTCTGTAAACTAGAACATCTCTGTAAAATAACCTCTGTAAACTAGAACATCTTTGTAAAATAGAAGACCTCTGTAAAGTAGAGCACCTCTGTAAACTAGAACATCTCTGTAAAATAGAAGATCTCTGTAAAGTAGAGCACCTCTGTAAACTAGAACATCTCTGTAAAGTAGAAGACCTCTGTAAACTAGAACATCTCTGTAAAGTAGAAGACCTCTGTAAACTAGAACATCTCTGTAAAATAGAACACCTCTGTAAAGTGGAACACCTCTGTAAAATAGAACACTTCTTTAAGTGGAACACCTCTGTAAAGAGGAAGACCTCTGTATAAAAGAACACCTCTGAAAAGTGGAACACCTCTACTATATATATACTATATATTGGTTTACTCTGTATTTCTGTTCGCTTCCAGAAAACCTAAGGATGAAATTATATACAGGGTAACACAAAAATGGCACCCTCCGTTGAAATTCAAGAATTCAGGTGGCTTACAATGCTTTAAGCAAAGCTGCTATAAGTGATTAAGTATTATCTGTCAAAATAAATTTTATGAATAATTTTTTTTAAATCTCAAAAAAGTGGAGGGTTGCATTATTTGTGTTACTCTGTTCATGTACTTACGCTTGGCTTCAGGATGGTTTTTCTTGGCTTGAAGTAAACTCTTGATGTAGTTTTGACGTCCAATTACAACGACCACATCTGTTTTTGAGGTGCTGCTTATGATGGCCTTGATTATCTCTTGGGCACTTAAAGTGTTGTTCTGTTTGATGCGCAATAGATGTTAATTTAAGGTTATATATATTTTACAAGTGGATCCAAGAGACCAAGTTGGCAAGTCCATAATTTTGCAGGGGTGGCAGGATATACACATATCAATTTCCACATACTCACATTGCCTTATTAAAGAAAACCTACTAAAAGTTTAGTAGTCAATAAATATCAGATCTGTGAATTCCCAAATCAGAAGCGAATTCAATAAAAACCAGATTAGAATGCATGGATACCGGATCACAGATTTTTTCAATGAGGGACCTGTTAAATGTATTACTGGGCTGTTTTAAAATAGACATTCTTGTTTCTTGCTGTTTAGGGAAAAGTAGTATTTTTTCTAATGTGTAGCATTATGCGTGATGCATTATTATATGTAAAAATAACCAATAACATTGGTGAAGCCAGTTGGGTGATCTCACCCACCTACAAAAAAAAGAATTATTCTGCAAAGGATTAGTATCGATTTGGTAAAAAAATATACTTTTCTCTTTATTGATTTAGAAAACACATCAGGCACTTCTTTTGTTCTTGGCATCATATGATCAGAAGGAAACATCTATCCACACCTTATTGGAACAAAATGACATAAACACAACGTGCTTAGGTCTCTCAATATTGTAATTATACAAAGGAAAGTTTGGTTGATTTTAATTTTTATCTATTTTGGGTTTTTTATTTTTTGAATACCTTTTGTTAAATCAACCAAAATTTCCTTTGTATAACTATAATATTGAGATGTCTAAGAAAATGTTGTATATGCTATTTTGTTCCAAAAAGGTTCAAGAATTGGTAGAAAGGAACAAAAAACAATTCCACTAAAAACTAAAAAATGTTAACAAAAACAGTTATATAAAATATATATAAATAATTTTCGCATTAAATTGTTGTCAATCAGTCAACATTACATAAAGAACTGTTTTTTAAAGAATGTTTTCAATAATTGGTTTAAGAGAAAAATATTGTTGAATTCAATTCACCATATCGATACCAATCCTTTGTTGAAAAAACATTGACAAATTATAGTTTTAAATGTGAAGAGAACGAGCTTTGACGGGTTTGGGAGGGAGGGGGGCTTTTCTCCTCCAAGAAAATTCATGAGATTGTATTTAAAGCGTTCTGCGGCGTTTTAAGATATTAAATTCCGACTAATATGGACCAATCAAATGTAAATTATTGGCCATTTTATCAGAATATTCAGGGGTTTCATTAGCAGTATTGGATGATTGGAGACAGTTTTGATCAATTTTGCAAAGGGTTAATTTTATTCTCATCTGTCTCAACAAAACAGGAATATCCCAGAATTCATACAGTCATACTTCTCTATATAAACTATATCATTGATTGGCCGAGGGTTCATCTATAATCCTGGGAAATGACCTCCTCTGGACGTAAAGCGTGGGAACATCTGATATGACCAGTTCCCATGGCAGTGTGTCACCTGTCATTTCTCTGGAATGATGTAAACTTTCCTCCAAAAGATTGGAAACAATTGTAGTACAGTAAAACCTGTATATCTGAACACTTGGCTAATCCTAACACCTCCCAATTTGAACATTTTTTGGTCCCGTTTTTCCTCCCATTGACTTGAAATGTGAACACCTCCCAATTTGAACAGTGAACAGTCATGTTTGAAAAATTAACCTATCTAATCTGAACACTTTTCATAAAATATCACATGTTCCATACAAAATTGCTCAAATATTTGAAAAAACCTTGAATGATCTCACTCATGGTGGGGCTTTCTAGGATGACTAAATTCATTTGAATCGGATTTTCATGTCACTGTAAAGCCATAAAGCTATGTAGTCAAAAGAACTATAAATATGATTTATTGAGAATTTGTTCCTATTTCTTCAAAATCCATCATCTTGCAAATGCAAAACCTCAAAATGTGAACACCTCCTAATCCGAAAGCTTTTAGCTGGTCCCTCGGATTAGACAGGTTTAACTGTAGGTACAATCCCCACTAAAAGTTACTGAAATCACTGGCTGGGAATTAGTGTTCGCTTACACACAGGTATTCAATAGAGTAGACTCATGTGTTCACTGGGCACAGATCTTCACTAAAGAGGTGTTCATTATGACAGTTTTACTGTACTGAAATCAATCGCTTGGAATTCACTATATACAAAATTGAAATGTGTGTATCATGCCACCCCTGCAAAATAATTAACTCGCCCACTTGGTCCCTTGGATCCACTTGCAAAATGTTTAACCTAACAGAATTACAAGAGGTCCTTTCTTATAACTAGATGGAAATCAGTGATATAAGGAAAATATGTTACCAAGAGTATAAACAAGGTATCTAATAGTGCATTTTCCTGTATACAAATGTTCAGAGTAGAACTCAATTTAATCTGACACGTTTAACCATAGTAACATGTTACTGAAACTCCCTGGTGGTGACATAATAAATAAAAGATGACGAAAGTTTCTTTACTAACCTGTAGATGGTAAGTTGCAGTAATGCAACGCATTTGATCTTCATTCACAAAAGCTTCTTTGAATTTTTGTGCCAAGTCACTCGCATACGTAGAACCTTCTTCAATGACAACTTGTACATTTAACCAGCCTACTTTAATCAACATGGCTGAAATGGCGTGGCCCTGAAAATACATAACTTGGAAGACTGGTTCAGGCGTAGTCTTACTAAACCCCACAGTAGTCACACCCGGGTCCATTCATTTATGAATAAATCTTGGCTATCACTGAACAAAGTGAAAAAACATTAATTGGATATTTTTCATATTCAATAATAATGTTATAGACATAACATATTTCAGCTCTTGACTACCTGGAGTGATGAGATTTCTCACCTCGGAAATGACTTTGAAACCCAGAGTGTCACAAACTTTTTCACTAAAATTGCTCTTATCTGAACAAGTATTATCCAATTTACACAAAAATTGTTTTAAACGTGTTGACATGATCTCTGCCATCTAATTTTACTAAGTTGAGCATCTAAAGTTGTATTGGTATGTAGTAAAATGATGATGATGATTTTAGAGCCTGGGATTCAAGAGGTTAAGGGTTCACAAATGGGTTTACACAATAACATGTTATGAGTCAGGCTACAAAAATGTAAGGTAACATGAAAATTAGATACAGAAGAAAATTGGTGTTGGAAAGAAAACGTGATTATAGGTTAATAAAACAAATACAATTATGATATATGAACTATAGTTTTGTTAAAATATATATCATACTCACTGACCTGCTTATCATCAGATGGAATGGTTCTGACAAAATATGGGAATCTTGTCCTGTCGCTCAACTGAGGGCTGGAGGCAAATGGGGCCACCAAAGCTGCTTGTTTTGTTTTCAAATAATTGGCAAGCTGAATCGTTTTATCGCTGTTTGAAGAGCCCACAAACCCAATTATTGAAGAAACGTTGATAGCAGCATTTGTGTTATCTCGGATGACCCAATTCCCATCATAAATATCTTTAACCATCTGAACACCACGGGACCCATCTTTGCAGTCGTCAAGAATAATGGCACCAATCTTGACGCCAAGATCTCGAAACTGATCCTTTTGCTTGTTAATTTCTTTAAGGGCAAGGACAACAGAATCGATGTATTGGTAACCAGAATTGGTTCGTATGTCTGTGCATCCTTTCAAGCGTAGGCCAAATACCGCTACAATGTATAAGTCGCCATCTATGACTGCATGTTTTGTATCATAATTTGGGTCAGCCCTGACCAAAGCAAGAAGAACCAACAGACATCTGAGCTCTTTTATCCACATAGTGATACCTGTCAAACAGAAAATAAAATTCTCTGCTACTATAGATAGTAGTTATACCAGTTACAAAAGAAATGGTGACTGTACCAATACATATACATGTATATCACCATTTTTTAATGGTGACATGAAAACTAATAATTGATTTGAAATCTACTGAAATAAAAAGTTCAAATAACAAGTACCCTTCTTTTCAACATGAATAAGAAATACCATGGGCTTTCAAGTCCATGAAAATACATACCAGTACTAAAATCAAGCTAATACTTGATTTCATCAAAATGCAAAACTTTCAAATAAAACATATAACTTGTTCTTACCTTTTAGATCCTGGCTTAGCTCTTTACTAACGGGTAAAAAAGAACTAGACATAAAATGCAAAAGGGTATAAAACAGCAAAGTGACTAAAACTCCCTTGCTTAAATTGTCATTAAGTCTTGGTCATTTCTCAACACTTCTCTCTAAAATTTGAGTGAAATCTTAAAATTTTCTTGCATTACTACACAGTGTAGACATGGAAACTTAATTCCTGATTTTTTAACTTTTAAATTAATAGCTATTTACTCTAATTTGCGTTAAAAAATTTGTGACCTATATGGCATTTCATTTTAACATTTTAAGTTTAACCTGACCTCACCTGATATAGGCTTTTCATAGTTATGACCCCAAGTCTATCATAAATAAAACTTTTCTATGAATTTCAATGGTTTGCATTTTCTTACATGAAATTATGTTTATGCTATTCATATTTTGATACTACAGAATATGGATTTCAACTTGAAATGAGGCTCTAGGAAATAAAGTTGAAAATATGATATAACACAAAAAACAGTAAACATATGGCATTTTTCAAATTGTTTCGAATTGACCAAATTTTTTCTAACCATCATCTACAAAGATTTCAAATCTGACCTTAGAATTGAGATCTGACCTTTGGTTGACCTGCAGTAACTTTGAAAAGTAAAAAAAGTTTAGGCCTATTTTTTGGGATTCAAATGTAGGTGTATTTAATAACAAAAGACCAACTGAGGTCTAAAAGAGTAAAATTTGCAAGGTCAAAGGTCGAGATCATCAAACTAAGTCACAATTGGACTACACATCAATATTTTAGGTTGAAAGTCAGAATATGTATTTCTCTAAAGATTTTACACATATCCACAATTGACTTTCTATTTCAGGCATTGTTTCCTAAAATGAACACTGGATGCCGGCACATCTCATGCAAATTTTTGGATTGTCACACCTTCAAGGAATTGGGAGTCCCAAGGCTCAATTTTTCAGAATGTAAAATTTAAGATATCTCATAAAAAAGGATTTGAAAGTTATTGAAGATTTAAGAAGCAGAAAATAAAGAGGATGTCTTTAAAAGAATAAAGTAAAATATGACAATTCTGTCAAAACTTACTCTCAGCTCACTTCTAATCCTTCTATTCCCTTTAAAAACCTTGAAAAGACACTTCCTCCATACTAGATGTCTACACATTGAATAAGAGTTCAACTTTTCTATGTGTCATTATTTACAATACATATACAATATTATCAATATACAAATTATTTTTTATTAGTGTAAAATGCATTAGCATTAGGCAACGCATGATTTATAAAATGTAATCACATTAGTTTCATCAGCTACCAAAAGATGGGTCTGATCACCAAGTCTAATGGAATCCATCCAGTTCACTTTATGTCCATGATTTTGAGAATATGAAGCAGTACAAACTGCCTCCTTGGTTTCATCTTCAGTTTCTTCTAGTGGTTCATGAGACGCCACATCTGCAGACTTTGGGGCAGACGTTTTTCTATGAGATTTAACTCTGGGTTTAGCACGTCTTGATTTTTTTGCCTCCATATGATGTTTTTCTGCCTCTAATGTACAAATATCGTGTACGTCCCAGAGATGGATTGTTGAATCATTTCCACCGCTACATAAAAATGGTGGCTGCCCCGACTCTGGGTGTTCCATAAATAGCACTTGCGACACACCCTGTGTATGACCTTGAATAGTGATTAAATGTTCTATTCCTCTGTTTCTAGATTCAAACAGCTGAATTGTTCCGTTTTCACATCCATTGGCCACAATGTTAATCTTCTCTGCATTAACTGTGGCGATAGAGTGGACGAATGGTGGGTTAATCATGTAGCTAGCATTCGGGTTCTGCACTGCTTTATAATCCTGCATATTTTGTAGTGAAAGCTGTTTCAGGCGCATGTAATCCCATAGCACCATATAATTATCGTACCCACCTGTGAGTACATGGGCAGCATTGTGAGTACTAAACTTAACAGCGGCACAGATATTTGAGTGTTTCCTCAATGTTTTAAGGACGCGTTGGCCTTGTAAATCAACGATCTTCACTTGACCTGAATCGTCACATGACGCCAGATGATTTCCCGCTGCATTTATGTCGATCTGGTTGATCTCTTCTTCATTGACCTGGAAATAATTTAAATATTTAATTAATTCAATGTTTTGGGTAGAAATCCGAAAATTGGGAGAATACTGTAAAAACACATGTTACCTAAGAATTATGGTCAAGTTCTCATGTTGTTTTCTGATATACTCGTATGCTGAAATAATCAACTTGTTTGACATAAAAATGTATTATTTGACAACTTCTTATCTAAAAGTTCAATTTTACTGCCAAATGACCTGTAGGTCAATGACTGGCCAATTACTTTTCAGGTAACAAATCAGAGAGCATGTAGCGATCATGGAATAACCATTTAAAAATTGTTGATATTCCACAAATTAAGACTACATGTTCTGAAAACCAAAACTGAGCAGAAAGGTGTGGAAATGATCAAGGTAGTCATGAAGTAAAAAGTTATAATCCTCATGCCTTCGAAATGAGAGATGGAGGGAGATAAGTTACCTGTAATTGTGATGCGGGAGTAGAGAGATCTCTAGTGTCATACTGGTATATCACATTGCCAGATGATGCATATAGCAAGCTACTGGAATCCTTGGCCCACAGGACACTGTTCACATCATTCTCACCTGAAACAAATTATAAACAGAAAGCAATTACTGACTAGGTGCTCTTGTCCTTCCTAAATGGTATAGTAAGGGTTTTCACCACATCAAATTGATTGACGTCCCCTCATAGTCTAATCTATTGACCAACACAGTGAGTCGACTAATGCATTTTTTCATAGTACTTCTATGTTGCTTTCTATATCGATCTCATTATCATAAAGGACTAGACAAGGCAGTCACCAACTAGTTGCTCACAATATTATTAGTTCAATCATCATTTATGTCAAATCTTAAGTCAGGGTCAAAAAGACCTTTTTTTGACCCTGAGAAGGTCATTGAAGGTCAAATATTTTTTGACCTTGAGAATGTCATTGAAGGTTAAATCTATAGTCAGATTTGAACTTTTGAGAACTTCTTGATGATTTTGAAAAAAATGGTCAATTTGAAGCAAGTTGAAACAAGGCTTTAACATGACAAAATGTCACCACCTAGTTGCTCACAATATCAATAGTTCAAACTTAAGTCAGATTTGAATTTTTGAGAACTCTGTAGATTATTTTGAAAAAAATGGAAGTTTTTTGACCCTGAGAAGATCATTGGTGGTGAAATATAAAGTCAGATTTGAACTTCTGAGAACTTGAAGATGATTTTGAAAAAAAATATTGGTCAATTTGAAGGAAGTTGAAAAAAGACCTTTTTGACCTTGAAAATGTCATTGAAGGTCAAATCTATATTCAGATTTGAACTTTTGAGAACTTGTAGATGATTTTGAAAAAAATTTGTCAAGATATTGGAAGTTGTAAGAAAATGTTACAGACGCCGATCGCCAACTGCCATCCGTTGTCACAAAAAATGGAGACCATAACAATATGTTAACATAAATTGATTCCTTTAGTTAACAATAATAGACATGCAATTGAATGCCAAAGTTTTATAAAAAACATTAGCAGCAATTTTAGACAATATGAATAGAAATACATTAAAATTTTTAATTTAAATTAAATTTTTTAAAGCTACTTTTTGACCCTTTTGACTTTTTTTTACCTAGAGAAGGTTTATGGAGGTCAAATCTCAAATCTAAAGTCAGATTTGAACTTCTGAAAACTTGTAGAAAATTTTGATTATAATCTCACTGTCTTGTCTACCAATCTCAATACCAAGTTCACTTTACAATCTGCTTTATCTAAGGAAGAAAATAACTTTAAAAAAATGTATTTTACCCCCAATTTTGGAAAATATGTGACACCATTTTATGATTGTGAATTTTGAAAATTTATTTGTAATGAAACCTTATAAACAATAATAAAAAAACCTTACCTGGAATCCCACTACATTTGCCAATGGTGGACTGAGTTGCCAAATCCCACAAGGTCAATTCTCCATTCTCTCCGCCACTAGCAACTTTGGCCTCATCCCTGCTCCCCGATACACAAAGAACCGAGTCAGCATGAGAACCACACAATTTTCCCTCCAATTTAAGCATAGTTGTTAGGAGCATCAACTACCTGAAATAATGCATTTATGAATGAGCTTGAATAACTACCCAACCTATCCATCATTCATTTGAGAAATGTACTTCCATACATTGTGATATACTAAATCTATCACGCTGGTCGGTCATGACAGGCCTTGCAATATGGTATAACATTGTCATGGTTATACCAGGCTTTCACGATAACACTACCATGGTCATGGCAGGATCCTTGCGAAACTTAAAAACACTAAAATAACATGGTGACGGTTGTGCCAGGCATAATATAAGTCTTGCAATAGATAGCATGTGCATATATAGGCCAACAGGAAGATTTTGACTAGGACTACCTGGTCTGAATGGATACAAGGATTCGATGGACTGACATTTAAGAAATTATTTGAATTTTGTCAATGGAGCTGTTACGTTCAACAATAACAGATAATGTAATACTGTAACAGAGCAAAAAGTTGATGGGCGATAATATGTTTTGTTAAAAATAACTTACCTAAAAACTAGTTCAGTATAATTTACAGATCGCTATCCCTAAAGACGTATGATCAACACATGCTCCGATAACCTTTCCTTTTAATCGAATGTTAATTCTTGAAGATTTCCAAGGAAATATCAATAAGTTGTCAAACTAATGTCAAAAATGTGACTTCACTTCAACTTTTTTGAAAGTAGGTCAATAGTCTCAAGGTTGATTCTGCAACAACTGATTTTGTAAGATTGGAGCTAATGATACAAGACTTTCACATCCATATTAGATATGTCTATGAAATTGATGAAAGGTCACAGATCAATCATCAGGTTTTTCATTGTGCGACTAAAAAAATTATATTTGAGATTATTTTATTCGTCCAGCCTCGTTCTCAATGTAAACAAACACGCCCACTTTTTGAATGGATATTTGTTAATTTGTTTCTTTGGGTTGTATTATATCAACAGTGTACGCATATGTATGATTATTGACTACACGGCCATGATCCTAATCATCATGGGGGTTAGTGGGTGTGGAAAGTTAGTACAGTCATACATGAATTATTCTATAAAGCCTGATTAAGGCTCAGCTGGAAAGTAACATTTTGGTAAAAAATTGCTATACCTGCACATGTTATTTTTTGGTACAAAATTAAGTATGAAGGCATGTGTGTATTGCCTTGCTTTTTTCAGGAAAGTATCCATTACACTGTCTTCTTTTAATAAACCTGGAAACAGGTCAATGGTAGCCCATGTGTTGTCTGGAAACTTTGAAAGAAAATTTGGAGAAATAGAAAGTGTGAAATATCAGAATTTCCTGGAGTTCCAACTGAACTCATACCAGATATTCGAAAAGAAGACAATGTAATGATACTTTCCTGAAAAAAAACAAGGAAATTGACACATACCTTCATACTTTATTTTGTACCAGAAAATAACATGTGCAGGTATAGCAATTTTTTACCAAAATGTTATTTTCCAGCTGTACCTTAAGGTGCTATGGAAGTTAACAGGAAATGACAAAACAGGAAGTGACAATTTTTTTTGCATCTTTAGATATTTTTTGAATAAAGATAACAGAGTTCTGGTTTGACCTCCAGTCAATTTAACTATTTCCACATATCATTTACATGACCAGGATCACAATGTGCATGGTCAGAATGACCCTAAACATGATGAAATAACCTTTTTAGCCCTTTGAAAGTGTGACTGAAAAAAGCTAAAAGTAGGAGCGTAGGGAAGGTCACTGAACAGAATCTTTTGAATTTTTCAGAAAATGTGCCCAATATATTGCTCTAAATGATACAATCTTTCAAAATTTGATATCATTCATAGAAAAAGAAAAAAAAATGAAAAAACTGATTTGAAAAGCGATCTATTTTCCTTTTTATGACCGCCATTTTTGTTTAAGACAATTTTCTAAAATTTCAAAGATTGTACTAGTTAGAGCATTATATTGGGCACATTTTCTGAAAAATTCAAAAGATTCTGTTCAGTGACTATCCCTACGCTCCTACTTTTAGCTTTTTTTCAGTCACACTTTCAAAGGGCTAAAAAGGTTATTTCATCATGTTTAGGGTCATTCTGACCATGCACATTGTGATCCTGGTCATGTAAATGATATGTGGAAATAGTTAAATTGACTGGAGGTCAAACCAGAACTCTGTTATCTTTATTCAAAAAATATCTAAAAAAGCAAAGAAAATTGTCACTTCCTGTTTTGTCATTTCCTGTTAACTTCCATAGCACCTTAATCCAAGTTACTTTTTGTTATCTTGTTTCCAATGTTTCAGCATATAGTTTTCTACAATGCAACTTTGCATGTTCTGTACTGGTATATTTCTATTTGTAGATCCACAGTGGGAGAGGCCCTTTCTAACCAGGTAAGAAGGAAAGTTGAAACTTCAATTGAATTAAATCTGATATATATTATACAAGTATTTCATGCTTTAATAATACACCTTAAGTGATGAATTAAATGTGAATGTAAATTATTAATTTGCTACATTCACAGTAAATAAACTACTTTTTTATTTTGTTCATTTCAGCTTGAATGGACACTTCTTGAGGCAGATGACTTTCACTCAAAAGCAAACAAGGATAAAATGTCCAGGGGAATCCCGCTAACAGATGGTGACAGGGAACCTTGGCTAATAGACATACATAATCATATCAAACAGTTGAGTATTAAAGAATTATGCTTTAATTGATTACATATTTCGTTTTGTAGTTTGAGAGGGTCTCAAAATCTTTTTAAAGAGGAACTATTATGTTGGTTATATGCTGATAGGACATGGACGTTATTTAAATAGTTTATTCTAAATTCAAATTGAAAAAGTTTCAAGTAAATTATTCACAATGTTTAGTAATAGTGCTTGGTTAACATTTGATTTAAATATATGTGATATGAGCGTAACTACATGTACATGTATTTCTTCATGATATCTTCTGAACAAACTTACAAATAAACAAACTTCCAAAATGGCTGTTTATGTTTTAATATTTCCAGGCTAGTCAGTCAGAATCAGCATTGTGTAGTGACATGCTCAGCATTAAAACAATCATATAGAAATATCCTCCTTTATGGAACACATCACGGACAGCAACACAACAGTGCAATTGATGACCAATCAGCACTGAATACAACTTTTGTTTACCTAAAAGGATCAAAGGAGAAACTAATCAAACAAATTGAGACACGAAAAAATCACTTCATGCCTGTAACCTTATTGGATTCACAGCTAGCTACTTTGGAGGAACCTACAGAATGTAGACATGTTGTGATGAATATTGATAGAAAGATAGAAGATATTGTTTCATCACTAGTTGACTATGTCCATAGTATTGAATAACATTCACGTTCAAATGACCACCTTCAAGTTGCCAATTGATTGATTATATTGACACAGTTCTAAGACCTGATATCTCTTCTGAAATACAGATATTGCAATTGAAAAATTTCTGTATCAACACACTTGTGTGATAAAATATTGCATGTTAAAAAATCTTTTTTTTGTAATGTTTTTAAAACGTAATAATAGTATCAAATTCTTTGTATATCATTGAACAACACTTTTATTCCAACAACTGACTCATGAGGTTCAATGTTAAAAACACAATAACACAATTTGATGGTTGTGCCTTATGATTATGATCATATGAATAGATTGTTTGTGATAGAAAGAATGTTTATATAAAAATTACCATGAAATCAACCTCTTTATATCTTCTATTTTTACAGTGCTGTCATCTTTATATTGAGCTAAAACCTAATTTGGTGAAAGAATGTGAACAGGGGCTAATATAAAGAGGGCAGCAGTGGTCGTCTATTTAAATCTTCCCTGCAATAAAACTTCACATATGAAAAAAAGCTTCATTCATATCATGATCCATTTCTAATTCAATTAAAATTCATCATCATCTAAAGGTTCCACCCCCCCCCCCCCGTGATCCTGCTTGCATTCTCCCTATCCCATGTCAGCATGTATAAGATGATGTGATTTATATACACGTACATGTAGCATTAATCATACACGTGCAGTTAGCACACGATCTATATTTTAAAATACTGCCATCGATATACATGTAGCATTATCCAGAAGCGATAAATTCACGGTTTTAGTTCCTCACTATTGATGCAACAACACCACTATGTTTATTATCAATCGATGCAAAAACACCAATGTGCTGATGCAACAACGCCAAAGTCTTTATCAAAGTTAAAAGGATATACAGTAAAACCTGTCTTATCCGAACACCTTTTGGACCGGCTTAAAGCGTTCAAATAAGGAGGTGTTCACATTTCGAGGTTTTTGCATTCGCGAGATCCCGGATTCTGAAGAAATGTGAACACATTCTCAGTACATATTTATAGTTCATTTGACCACATAGCTTTATTATATAGCATTTGAAAATTCGATTCAAATGAATCTAGTCATGCTGGAAAACCCTATTATAATCAAGACCATTCAAGTTGTTTTTCCCAACGTTAGTGATATCATAACAATATTTGAGCAATTTTGAATGAAACATGTGAAATTTTATGAAAAGCGTTCAGATTAGACGTTAATTTTCACTGTTCAAATTGAGAGGTGTTCACATTTCAAGTATTTTTTAACATGGGAGACAATGGGAGGAAAAATGGGACCGAAAAAAGTGTTCAGATTGGGAGGTGTTCGGATTAGCCAGGTGTTCAGATATACAGGTTCTACTGTGTACAAGCCAAACGAAATACGTAGTAATAGTATTTAATCACATATTATGATATTGTAGTACATGTAAGTTTACTAAGTAAGTTAATCACTTTCTAAATGACATCATGACAGACACTAATGTGGTCCCAATTCTGGAGACCGGTGCTCGGAGGCTTGTGTTCGGAGGATATCACAAATCTTGAAACTACTTTGAACTAGATAACTTAAACGTGAAAAGGCTGGTCGCCCAATTCGTTCGAATCCCAATGGTCTAAACCTTATTGATCAGGAATGCGTGGAATAAATCATCGCGTTGATTGATTATTGAATAAAATAGATTTCCCGTTAACCGTTAACCGTGTTTATTGAAAATATTACGTTTAGCTTTTTACACTGTTTTGGTCAAGTCAATATTTCTGATTTTAGTCTGGTTTTATTTACAAAGAACTAATATAATTATGGAATTGAAGTCAACAGACATCAGTCATTGGTGTGTTCGGGGCAAATCTGATTTAAGGATATCTATCCAGTAAAAGATTCACCAAAAAAAAGATTTTATATAGATAATTCAATTATCTAACTTTTGGTAGGTACGCTGAGTGTTCAGCTTACTTTTTGAATACTGAAGTTACAGAAAATCCCTTTCGCCTCCTGTGTTATTTCAATGGGAGGAGTCTTTTGAAAAATAATTTTGACTTTGAAGATCTATAACTTTTTGAAACCTGAAGAAACGTATCAATTTTTTATTCAATGAAGTTAGCAAATTCAATTGACTACCTGACTTGTATTTTTGCAAGAACTCGGATGGATGAATTTTCTGTCATATGACTTGCGGCAAACCTACCATTTCCCATTGGTTTACATGGGAGTGTCGATTTTCAAAAATTCATTAGATTTATCATCAATTTTCAACCTGTTGTAATCACGCCCGATGATCGTACAAAATGGATTGAGGGGGGAGTAGGCGATTTCTGCAAGAGAACTCAACAAATTTGGAAGATTTATTTTTTCAAGAGAAAAATTACAACTGAATTGCCAAATGAATAGGCGCAGTGCATGGCAAAATATGTTAGGTCTTCAAGTTAGTATGTTTTTGAACTGATACGCTTCTAAGATATGAGATCTATTTAAAAAGGCGCATCATCATCAACGTGCTAAATTCAATATTTTTGCTATAAATCAGGCAACAATGCTCCACACAACCTGTAATAAATAGGTATAAGGGACGTTATTATCACAACACTATAGCTAATGATTGCTCACTCTTTAAAGTTAGTTTCCATGCGTTATACAAAAAATAATCGAAATGAATTAATATTGGAAGGGGGGGGGGTGGATGGAGGGGGAAGTAACGTGTATATAAGACATGATAAGACAGGCTACTTGAATTTATTCTTATAACCAGAGATATAATATCCAGTTTCTTACTGGAGTACTGAGAGTACACGAGTTCTTGTGAATTTGTTCCATCGTAAAGACATATGAGTTTGGTTCATTTGAAAAAACATTTTGTTAATGAAATAAAAGATTTACTCTATTTTTTATCTATTTTGAGGGTTTTTGTTTTGACTTTTTGTAAAATCAACCAAATTATCTTTTGTATAACTATAATATTGAGAGGTCTAAGAAAATGTTGTATATGCTATTTTGTTCCAACAAGGTTCGGAAAGATATTTTATTTCATTCTCAAGAATTTGTAGAAAGGAACAAAAAACAATTGCAGTAAAAAACAAAAAATGTTAACAGTTATAAAAATATATTCAAATAATTTTTGCATTAAATTGTTGTCAAACAGTCAACATTACATAAACAGATAAAGGACCGTGTTTCTTTACAGAATGTTTTCAATAATCGATTTAACACAGGCTGGTATCGAAATATTTGTCCGCTGTGACGGAGCATGCTATTTCTCATAAAAACACTAAGAATACTTCACGATTTATTTTTTAACCCATATGTTTCGCTATACCAAAGAAAATTACTTACTCCATGCAATGGATATATCATTTGCTGGTAACTTTCACTTCTGTTTGAAGTCCAATTACGCTGGGAAGAAAAGTTATTGAAAATGGCGCTGGAGTATCATACTTCAAAATGTACCATTTCTTGTTTAACTTTCTAATGGCACGATATAGTGACACGATAATATTTACACATGGTTTCAGCTTTACTATGAAGGTAAAAATGAGATGTTGATGTATTTGGTCTTTTTAACTATTTTATAAAAAATATTGTTTAATTTTTTTGTCCGCTGTGACGGAGCAGTTGCAAATGTAAACTGTAAAAATGCTCCGTCACAGCGGACAAAAAATATTAGTATTATTTTTTATAAAAAAATTAAAAAGACCCAATGCATTAATATCTCATTAATACATTCAGAGTTATGCTGAAAACATATTTTAATATTCTTGTGTCACTGTATCATGCATTTAAAAAGTTTAAAAAGAAATTGCACATTTTAGAGTTTGATACTCTGGCGCCGTTTTCAATAGCTTTTACTCCTAGCGTTATTGGACTTCAAACAGAAGTGAAGGTTACCCGCAAATGATATATCCATTGCATGGAGTAAGTAATTTTCTTTGATGTAACGAAACATATGAGTTAAAAAATAAAGTGTGAAGCATTCTTAGTGTTTTTATGAAAAATAGCATGCTCCGTCACAGCGGACAAATCTTTCGATACCAGCCTGTGTTTAAGAGGAAAAGATTGTTGAATTCAGTTCCCCATATCGATACTAATGCTGTGATATTTTTTCTAAAATATAAATGAGACCATTACATAAAGGACCGTGTTTTCAATGTTTTCAATAACTGGTTTAAGAGAAAACAATGTTGAATTCAGTTCGCCATATCGATACCAATCCTGTGGGCAAATATACCTGATGCATCTGAAACATAGACATCTAATAGAAAGTGATCGTGAAATTTCGATTTAAAGATAAATGTCCAGGATAGGCGATTTATATACAGACTCCGACCCCCGCCTGCAAACCCAATTTTTGGTTTTAAGGGCCCCAAATTTTTTTTCAGGACTCAACATTTTGGTCCCTCCTTGTCAATTTCTGGATCAGCCACTGGGGGCTGTGCTGTGCTGTGCTGCACGGCCAGGCGTGAAAGAAATTATGGTCCCTCAGGGATTATGGTCCCCTAAGTTCTTAACGGCCCTAACTTGCCCTGATTGTGTATAAGATAATAAGGGAAAGAGATCACCATTATATAAATCAATGGAGAGTAGGACCATTATTTGATAGGATCTCCTACCCTTTTACATCGGTCTTCACGCTCACTTTTTGATTCCCGGGTCAAGGTTACACTATACGAAAAAGATTTTTTGTCTTTCGCGCTGAATCGATAACGAGGTTGAAAGACACACAGACAGACACGCCAACAGTCTGGGCGTCAAATATTCACATTTGAGTATGTTTTTCATGTGATTCTGCCTACATCGGGAGTTGAATACAGCATCGAATGTAAGTTTAAATGCTTATTGTCATTTTTGTTTAAAATTACCATCCAAAACAATGTATAAAGAAGTATTATAGTAAGTTGAAAACTTGGTTGATTTTTTTATTGGGAAAATTTCTCAGGTCAGGTTCTGGATTCTACTTGTTTCCATGTATTGTATCCCGTCCTGCACTATTACGTGAAGTTGGTGCTAGATGATATTTAATCTTTACAATCTAGTTAGTGCCTCAGTTCAACAAAGTTTGGCATGACTGCGTTATTACAGCCACCTCTGTTCTTCACCTCACTTGACCCTGTATTTATAAATCGAGATGATGAATCGTATAGGGCAAAGCACGGACCTCTGCCAGAAAAGCTCCTCTGTGTCTAGGCTCAATAAATATACTCAAGGATAAGACACGAGATCTTCGGAAAATTTATTTTTCCTTGATTTTGGAGTCAGTTTTTCAATAAATATCACATGTCATACCTCAAACGATGCGTACTGTTGTTACCTTCAACTCCAATCACTAAAGCCAAACATCCAAGAAAGCGTCTCTTGATAAAAGCATAAAATAAGCGAGCGTATATTTAATGGAGCACTTCGGCTATCTCCGTTGTTCAAATGATTATTCCCGAAGTCAAATACCTTTTCTGAGAATGTGACGCCACTCCGGATGACGTCACATCAGAGATTACCGAGAAGTCCCATGACGTTTCTTTAAACTCCCGTAGAAACAATAACGACGATTTATTAGGCTACGCGATTCTTTACTTTCATTGGCTGTTTGTTGCGATGTGACGTAATTTGAGAGACGAACAACATCGGACACTGCCGGAAATTACCGAAGTGCTCCATTATCTTTACGCTCTGAAAATTTGAAATAAATGTCCCGGGAAAAGTCGAATTACAGCGTCAATAATGGATATCATGCAACCATTCAAACTAATACATAAAGAAGAGATTACAGGGTAAATATTGATCAATCAATGTCTGACAGATGGAAAAAATAAAGGTCAGTACGAGGGTCATATTTTTGGGTGGTCATTTTTTTGATGTGCCATTTTTGGCTCGTGTCTCATCTTCCCATTTATCCTTTGAGCCTACTACCAACAGGGGCTGGATCTGGCTCCGGATCTGTGGGGCAAAGGGGTGTAATTTCTCCAGAAGTCAAACATGGCAGAAAACAGAAATTCTACTTCTAATAAGTTGTGTCGACATACCCCACACGACATTACACCCCTTTCCCTAGATGGCAGAACTTGAAAAGTGGTCAACCTTTTTATTGGGGCAATATTTTTCATAAGACCCGTCAAGTTTTAAAGGGGACAGATGGAGCTATCCCATGGTACATGGGATTTTGATGGGTGACAAAAGACTAATTTAAAAGCAATAATTAGACATTTTTGGGAAATACAGGTTTAGAGGCTGAAAATTAATACAGAGAGATTAACTGGGGGATTGTTTCTAAAATTTGCTACTAATATTGAAGGAAATCAGCACATCTCTGATGTCATATGATTACTTCTGGTAAAAATTGTACCCCCCCTGTTTGGAAAAGTGTCTGAGGGCCTGGGTAAGTAAAAGGCATTAGCCACCTGTCCACTGTCTGCTTGTCAGCAAATATCAGACTGGCGGATCCAGAATCTTTTTTTATGAGCCCAAATTTTTTTTCTACACCCAGTCGCTGCCCACCCAAGGGGGGGGGGGGGGCGGGAGAGCCCCATTGCCAAACATACCAAAATCACCCAATATAAACCCCAAGAGTTTTACATTTTGGGCAAGATATCTGTGAGTGCAGTTCAAGTTTAGCTGACCCTAAGATTCAGAATAATTGGTACAAGTCCTTTGGACTTGTAAGTGAACATTTTTCAAGTCCATCCAAAAAATACAAGCCAAATAAGGACTTGTAAATTTTAAAGTCACAAGTCCAAAAAATCAGCCAACTGAACTCTGTGAATTACAATTTAAACAGTAGGTATATGTAAACAGTTTTATCGCAAGTAATGCAAAACATTTTATCGCCTCTGAGCTAACCATGGTCTTCCAAATTCCCATTTGGGTAGATACTTCCGCTTTTTGGTCTTTTCCATATCATATATATGAGTGGTTTCCGAAAAAATTGAGAGAAATACGAATATTTCAAATATATCAAAAGTAAAATTTCGAAAAAAAAACTGACAAAGGTACAAGAGAGGCGAATTCTGATTAGTTGTTGCCTCCGGAAGTTAGACAGATATGTAAATTTAAGCCAATGAGATTGCGGTTTACTTACGTGTTTTGGCTCGATATCCATCCCACAATTTAGTAGGCGAGAGAGACGGTTTTTGATTGGTTATTGCGAGCGGAAGTATTGCATATTTTTAAATTTAAACCAATTGGCATGCGGCTTACTTACATATGTTTGGATCGGCATCCACGGAAAAAAAAATCAAAACAAAGTTAGTTTCAAACTTTTTATTCATGATATTGCCGCGACCAATATTGATGAATACAGTCAACAGCTAACAGTCAATCAGGGTAAGCTTATAGGTCGTTTTTTAATATGCCAGGGAGACTTGTATTTTGAGAGGAAACACGCCAGCCGCTAAAACAAGGCGCCGCTGGCATCCTGGCGTGTGGGAATCTTAGGGTCTGTTTATCATGCGTTCAAGTTCAAGACAAGACCGGCATTTTGAGCATGTTTTGTTAAATAAAATAAAATGGTGACCATTTGAATCAGACCCACTGGTGGATCCAGAAGCTGACAAGGGGCAGGCCATATATCAAGTCAGGAAATTAATTTTCCGCTCTTGTGTCTTGTCATTAGGCCCTAATTTTGAAAATTTAATGGTTATTTGCTTGGGTTACCTTTTTTGACTCACCCTGTATATACCATTTTATGTGGTTCATACTGGTAACTCACATTGGTTCCAGTATCTGCAGTCTGGAATACCTGTCAAACTTAAGAAATACAATTTTGACAATATGTTCCTTACTTTCCAGTATTTAGAATGCAACAGTTGTCGTTTTCTCATGTGAAACATAATCCAAAAAAAAAATCAATTGAATTTCTTTTCATGTAGTCTAGCTCTGCCCTTGTGACCCTCCCTCTCACTACAACAAACATGTGTGAGAAGGTGTGAAAGATTAGCTCTTGGCAAATTGTTTTAGCATCAACTAGTAAATGGGCCGAATATATTGAATCTTTGTAAATCATAGTAGCTTTAATATGAATACCTAACATGTTAAATCATAGTACCTTTAATATGAATACATAATATGTTAAATCATAGTACCTTTAAGGTTCAGCTGGAAAGTAACATTTTGGTAAAAAATTGCTATACCTGCACATGTTATTTTCTGGTACATAATTAAGTATGAAGGCATGTGTGTATCTCCTTGCTTTTTCAGGAAAGTATCATTACACTGTCTACTTTTAGTAAACCTGGAAACAGGTCAATGGTAGCTCCTGTGTTGTCTGGAAACTTTGAAAGAAAATTTGGAAAAACAGGAAGTGTGAAATATCAGAATTCCCTGGAGTTCCCTTTGAACGCCTACCAGATATTCTAAAAGAAGACAATGTAATGATACTTTCCTGAAAAAAGCAAGGAAATTGATACATGCCTTCATACTTTATTTTGTACCAGAAAATAACATGTGCAGGTATAGCAATTTTTTACCAAAATGTTACTTTCCAGCTGTACCTAATATGAATACATTACATGTTAAACCATAGTACCTTTAATATGCTTACAATATGTTGTTGAATGAATTTGATGTTCTGCATGGGAAATATGTACAATATAATGAAAGGACTAATAGCTGCATTTATCATAACATATTACATATTATTATCAATGATTACTTACAATCAATACTTGACATAAACTTTCTTTTTCTGAAAAAATCAAAGCTTTAAAATTTTGCCTTGACAAATAAAAAACAAACAAACTAGTTTTACATTTTTCATTTTTATTAGGAACTAATTAATCCATGTTCTAAATCAACGTTTTTTAACCTTTGACAATAGCAGAAAATTGGTTTATATCAAAGTTTATTGATTGTATTAAGTAAATGTATAAGTAACACATCATCAATATTAATTAGTTATCTTGGATGAAAAGTACAGCTATTAGATCTTTAAGTAAAAAATAAGCAATATTTTGAAGTTGTCTGGTGTTTATTACTTTGCTTCTTATTTTAGCCTCCTTCATTAATGTTGTTTTGGTGTAGTGTAGTATTCTTTGATAAAAGCTTTAATTGTAAAGATAAAAAAATGAAATGATCAAGTTAATCAATTTGCTGTTTTAATTGTAGTATTGGACGAAATAAGAACTAATTCAAACTAATTTGAAAAAATATTGTCATTTTGAGTTTTATCTTTTCTATCCTATCTGCTTTCTTGATTTGAGTATGTTATGTTTTTATTCTGTAAAGCATTATTTAAAAAAATGGGTCAGTATTTGGGACCGTTGTAATTATTATATAGATATGAAATTCAGACTATTTGGGGAGTCATCTAAGTATAGTTCCTATTTCCCATGCAGACGTGTGAACCCTCGATCACTGATTGCAGGTGCTGCCATCTAGTGTAGAAAAGCTTCCAAGATGGCAGAGAATGCTTCCATTGTAACAGATGTCATGAAACAGATCCTAAAGGTGGCATCAGCAGAGGGGGTATCTCAAGTCAGTATAGATAAACAAAGAGTTGTTGTGACGACATCAGCTATAAAGAAAGAGCCTATTGAACAATCAACTTCAGAGCCAACCAAACCCTTAAAAACTGCGGTGAGGATGGCCTCCCAGTTACTGAAGAAATCTAGCTCTACAATACGACTACAATGTAGTAGGGCAAAATCACCTGAAGAATTGAGAAGGGAATTACCAAATAAAAGTCACCTGAATTTGAACCCAGGGATGAAATGGAGCGCTGATACCAAATGTGCCTCAATGACAATCAAATCATTTCCAATAAAGGAAGAAGATAGCCCAGTTAAAGTTAGTGTCAATACCACTGGGGATGCTGACAAAAAGTTGTTTGGAACAGTAGCAATGAAAACGGAAAATTCTTCTGCTGGCTCGATCAAATGCAATGACACCACTCAATCTTTGAGCACCACCTCAGCCCAAACACCAGTGAACGCAGAGCAGTTGGAGATGACCTCACAACAAAACAGGGTTGTTTTTTCTCTAAACAGTTCATCTCAGACTCAAAACAGCACCTCACAACCAGAGAACAGCATTTCTCATTCTCAAAACAGCGATATCCAACCTGAAAACAGCACTTCTCAATCTGAAAATAGCCTTTCCAAGCCATGGCACTACCTTGTTCAACAGAAACAGAATTATGTCCAACCCCAAGATTGTAATTCTGAGGTGAAAAATAATATCCAACCTCAAAAGTGTGTTTCCCCAGTTCTAACGCAAAACCAGACAGATAACAGTGAAACAAGGCTATTGGAGAGTCCCAATACTGCAAAGGAAGATACGACGCCAGACGGTAATATCACAGGCCAGAATGTGAAGAGAGTTGATCAGTTCACGTGGCAACTGCCATCTTATCGATCAAATCCAACTCATAAACCTACACAGTTTGAAAGCAAACCAATTCCATTATCAGAAATACGAAGGATTCGTTCTAGGATATTGAAATTTGTAGAACTATATGAATCGATTGGAAAGGTGAACGAAGAAACGGGAAGACCGATGTTCAGTTATACTGAGCTCTGTTATCTGGCTCTACTGAAAGCTCCTGACTTTCGCGTGCCAACAAAAGTGATATATTCCTATATAGAGAAAACGTTTCCATTTTTTAACAAGGACTGCCCAAGGAAAACATGGAAAAATGCAATACGACACTGCCTATCAAAATCGAAATGTTTCTTCAAAACTACTAAGATGCAGAAAACACCTGGGTATGATCATGAAGTGGCACTCTGGACACTCTCGCCATCATTTCTTGTGAGTTTTGCAAGAGGCGATTTCAGAGTTGATAGAGATCAGTTGTGTAGTAACTTAAGATGGGCATTTGAGGCAGTTGACAATGCTGGTGCATTTTGGCACAGTGCTGCTCAGGCTGTTGCATGTATGATACAAGAGAATTATATCAGAGACATTGTGGCTGAAGAACTTACTGATATATTGTATGTCCCTCCAGAAGATATTCCCAACACAAAGAAAATGCGAGCTGTTACAGCTGCAATGATGAAAGTAAAGCCTGTGATTATTGTTGATCAAAAGACTGTGTCGAACACTGGAGACAAAGAGGAACCTTTGAAAAGTGTTGAGCCATGTACAATGCCCAGCAAGGCAAATATGATAGAGTTGGATCCTGCGAAAACTTGCTTTTCAAGTAAACAGCGACCAATACTTCCAAAGCCACAAGAATCTGGTGAAACCCCCTGCACAAGATCCGAAGCTTTTTGTGACTCTAAATCTTGGAACCCTCTAAAGCGGAAGTCCCTTATGTTTCCTATTTCACCAAAGAAGAGAAAGCGTGTTGAAAGTAACCCTAGTCTTTATTCCAAACGCTATACTGCTCCTAAGCCGATAGATGTTAATCAAAGCCATAAGTACCTTACCAGGTGCAGTTCTCGTCGGCAGGCATTTATGGAAAATAACTTTCCAAAACGGCCTAAGAAGAAACATAAAGTTCCTGAAAGTCAAAAGGGACAATTTATGTATGGACTTGGTTTACGAAATATCAAAAAAGGTGAAAAGGTATTAGTCCGTGAAAGTGAGTTTGAAAAACAAAGACAGATAGATTATCAAAAAATAATGAACCTTGCCAAAGAAAAAACACAAGCTCAAGATGAATCCATCAAACGTATTACAATGAATGGTTTAGGAGAAGATTCCCTGATAATAAACTGCGATGTGGACACTGATATATGTGAAAATGTTACATTAGGTAACCTCCTCTCAGAAACCCTAGAAAATTTATCCCAAAAAACAACACAGAATTTCAGTATGCAATTCGCTGAAAATGAAGATGATGAAAAACTTAAAGGACCTGGGGTTGTTCTAAAGAGTAAAATCAGTATGAAGGTGATTGATGAAGACCCTAATGCCATAAAACAAGAACTTGATGCTGATGACATGCTAGTTGACAAGAAAAAAGAAGAGTGGGAGAGTGACATTGATGAGGTTTGGGAAATGGATGATGAATATATTGATGAGAAAAAGGACTATAATTTGGAGAAGATTTGGAGATTGGGAAGTGACCATAGTTATGCTGTTGACCCATACATGTGCAATGCAGGTACTGACCCATCAAAATTTTAAGAAAGCTCAATTTCTTGGCACCCAAATTTTCACTATTATCCTAATTAGCTAAACTTTACTAGACCGCCATTTGATTAAATGCTTGTGAAAGCACCCAAGGTCAATGAAAAATTTTGTTTACAGTGCTCGTCCCTGGTCATACTTTTCCTTGTTATTTCTTGTAATTGGAACATATTTGTTTCCCTAGGGATAGAAAATCAACATTTTCAAACTTTTTATTGCCCCTCCTTAATTTTTCGCCGTTAAATTAAAGAGATTCATCTTAACATGAAAACAGGTTCATATACAGATACTGGGTAATCCCCATCTTGTTAAACTGGCGATCTTTCCCCAAGAAATTCTTCCGATCTATAAAAAGTTACAAGGTAATTTCTCTATTGGTCACTTGAGAGTATGACCTGGTCATTATCAAATTTTATTTATGCTTGTTCAATTTGAATGTATACCGTAATTATATTTTCATTTTATCAAACTTTATCTTGTACAAATTCATTCTAATTTCATGCATTAATTTCATTTGGTTAACTTGATCAACTTTATGTTAGCACATACAAGGGTTGTCCAAAAAGTTTTGATAAAAATACTGAATTATGAGTAAAAGACTTATTATATGACCCATGGCCTGTATGCTGTTATGTTATGTTTTTGATATTGTGCTTTCTAGTTTGCTTTATTTCAAGTAGTGTTGCACTGTTGCTTTACATATTTGCCATCCTTTCATTTCTATAATGTTGATCATTGTTTTCTGAGTTTCAAACATGAAAACGGAACCTTTTATTGTTCTAAAACAATTCCAACATCCCACCTCCAAACACAGGACTCTGTAAGACTTCAGGAAAGTGAAAATTCATGTTCTTTAGAGGCCTGAATTTGAAGAAATGTGAAGAAAATTAGATTGGATTGCTAAAGTATGTTAATTAAATGCTATGTTTTAGATTTAAGATAAAATTTTCTATTTATTTTTCAGACGTTTTCGTATGCGAGTACGAGAAAGGAACCAAGATGAAGGGAGGGAAGAATCCTATGGAGAGGAAGATTCGTCTGAAGACAGTGAACCCTTACATCACATGCTATCTGTGTAAAGGCTACCTGATAGATGCCACTACAATTACAGAATGCCTACATACTTGTAAGTATATAAATCCACAAGTAAGCTAACCTAAAGAATCACTCAGAGAAAATTTGGAATATTTACTGCTGAAAATGATTTCCTACATTCACCTGAAAAATAAGATATGCTGTATTATGTTTCTTGTATGTCTGCAGGAATTGTATCCTAGGAATGATATGATGTCATGACTGGTTAATACAGGAGTTGGTTATATATTTTATATTTGTTGTTCTATGTTTTAGTCTGTAGGAGCTGTATAGTGAAATTCCTGAAGGAGAACAACACATGTCCGAAGTGTGAAGAAGTCATCCACCAGAGCCACCCTATGAACTACATCAGTCACGATCGAACAATGCAGGACATTGTCTATAAACTAGTGCCCAATCTTCTGGAGAGTAAGTATTCATAAAATGTTGTATGGTACCTCTATGACCAAATGCACATGATATACAGGGTGTCCAAAAAGTTTCTACACTTTACACAGATGTTGTATTGTATTTGTAGAGACTTTATGGACACCCTGTATGTTCACTCTTGATCACTTTGCCTTCAACCATTTGGGTTGATGGGCTAGTATTGTGTAAATGTACAGGGTGTCCATTAACTTAAGTTGAAAAGAGACTTTATGGATAACCTGTAGATGTACGTGTATGTACGTGTATGTATTCTCAATGACAAGCAGCAATGCCTTTACATTTCACAGTTTCAATGATTGTATCACTGACAACAAAGTTGAACAGCATTTTACAAGCTGTTAAATCATCAACCAGTGTCTGAAGCAAACTTAATGAAATTAGAGGATTGTGAAAGATGTTTGTTTTATTAATTTAAATATTTAGATGATAATAAATGTAGTTCTTCTCAAGTCCTTGTGAGCCCCTCCCTTTCACACCTCATCTGTGGGTAAAATAGAGAAGTGAAGGGGGCTACAGAGACTGCCATCATATCTTGTAATGTAAAACACATGTTGGTACATATATGTAGCATTGTAGCATCACATTCCTGGTAATCACATCTCATGAGAAAATATCATGGTGGATGGTCATGTTTTGAAATGCAATAGAGAGTGTTAAAATCTGAACCCAACAAGAAGTAATTTAAGCACCCGTGAAGTACACACTCTAAATTGTATAGAAATGCAAGAATCAGATAGATATTTTGAGAAAAGTCATGTGAAAAAAGTATGACCCATTCGACATGATTTTCTCCCTTGAGATTCACCCTTCCTCTGTACTCACATATGAAAATGCATGAATTATATGTAATGTGAAAAATCTGACATGATTCTAGATGAGAGAAAGAAAGAGGAGAGGTACCATAAGAAGAAAGGTCTTCCACTTCCAAGACGTAAGTTCAGTTACACTCCCACACAAAAGTTTAGCAATGCCATTCAGGGTTATTAAATCTTTGTGGGCACTTCTTGCACAATTGTAGTTGTCGTTTTCAGTATGCATGCATAATAATTCATAAAATGTAGAGTAAGTACTAAATAGAGTATTTGCTCGATAGGAATATCTAGAGTTTTATAGAGGCAAAACAAATTAAAAACAAGTGAAGTTATTGGAACTTTTAATATTAACTCAGAAACAGCTGTAAATTACTTAAAACAACAGATGATTTTGGTAAAAAATAGTGAAAATCACCTGCTTCTAACGAAACCCCTGCTTGAAATGATTTATCAATTAAATGATTATCCATCAAAAGCCTCGCATGTAAATCATTACTTTAAATTAAATTGATGAAATGATTGCCTATTACAGTAGCTTATGTCTTTTAGCCTTCAGATAAAGCTAACAAATTACATTGGTACATAGTCTATAAACTCTCAACTTTAGTCTCAAACAAACATATGATTGGTCCACTCACTTGGAGGTGCTGCCACCTATTCACTAAATGTTAATTGCCTCAAACTAAGATATAACACCTATCACATATGATTCATTGTTTTATAATAGATGACTCTGAAGAGAATGATCACAAACCTCCCGCAGTACCTGAGGATCCTAAAGGAGACTGTCACCGTAGCGACGAACAAGTAAACCTCTGTCTAGAATGTAAATCTAACAAGCTGAATAAACTGAAGCGCAAGTTTCTCCGTTGTTCATCCCAGGCCACTATTACACACGTCAAGAAGTTTGTAGCATTGAAGCTCTACAAAGATCTCAATCGATTTAAAGAGGTAAAGTATGATCGCAAATTTTGTTATCTGGTATCAGATTCAAATTATAATTCGAAGATTATCACCTTTTCATGACTGTTAATTATGTTCAAATCCATTGATTAATTGATTTGCCTTTTATATGCCTTTTAATATGTTTACAGTATGTGTTGTTTTTCAGGTTGACATACTGTGCAATGAAGAGATCCTGGGGAAAGACCATACACTCAAATTTGTTACTGTCACAAGATGGAGGCAAAAAGTAAGTAGTCCCATCAAATGAATAGTCATAAATCAGAGAAGTCTCATCAAATGAATAGCCATAAATCAGAGAAGTCGCATAAAATAAATAGTCATAAATCAGAGAAGTCTCATCAAATGAATAGTCATAAATCAGGGATGTCCCATCAAATGAATAGTCATAAATCAGGGATGTCCCATCAAATGAATAGTTATGGAGAAGTCCCATCAAATGAATAGTCATAAATCAGAGAAATCCCATTAAATGAATAGTCATAAATCAAAGAAGTCCCATCAAATGAATAGCCATGAATCCGAGAACAAGTCCCATCAAATGAATAGTCATGAATCAGAGAAGTCTCATCAAATGAATAGTCATAAATCAAAGAAGTCCCATCAAATGAATAGTCATAAATCAAAGAAGTCCCATCAAATGAATAGTAATAAATCAGAGAAATCCCATCATATGAATAGTCATAAATCAAAGAAGTCCCATCAAATGAATAGCCATGAATCCGAGAACAAGTCCCATCAAATGAATAGTCATAAATCAGAGAAGTCTCATCAAATAAAAAGTCATAAATCAGAGAAGTTCCATCAAATGAATAGTCATAAATCAGAGAAGTCTCATCAAATGAATAGTCATAAATCAAATAAGTACCATCAACTGAATAGTCATAAATCGGAAAAAGTCTCTTTAAATGAATAGTCATGAATCAGAGAAGTCCTATCAAATGAATAGTCATAAATCGAATGAATAGTCATAAATCAGAGAAGTACTATCAAAGAATAGTCATAAATCAGAGAAGTCTCATGAAATGAATAGTCATGGAGAAGTCCCATCAAATGAATTGTCATAAATCAGAGAACAAGTCCCATCAAATGAAGTCATAAATCAGATAAGTCCCATCAAATGAATAGTCATAAATCAGAGAACAAGTCCCATCAAATGAAGTCATAAATCAGAGAAGTCCCATCAAATGAATAGTCATAAATTAGCCTCTAATGACATAAGGCAATTGGTAAGCTTTTAAATGTTTGATTGATCAAGTAAATAGATTATCATATAAAAATGTTTTCATGCTAAACATGAATTCCTCTTTAGCTGAATGTCTTCATGGTAGGCACTACCCTATATTTGTGTCAATTATAGGGGGCAATAGTGTATCCGTCATGTGATCCATCACAAAATACTTCATGTTATGTCCAATCAAATACATTATTCTTATATATTGTACAAATCTTTTGTTTGTTTTATTTATTCCTTTTTTCTGGTTTCATGTGTCTGCTTTGTATTTTCAGAACTGCCCATTGCTCCTTCACTACAGGCCAAAAGTTGAGATTTAACAATTTGAAAGTAGATTCACGAATACAGTTATTGTACATATATCTGCAGTATTTCCTAGAACAATCCAATGTCTGATATGTGATTATTATATTCAAAATAGTGTACATGTAAATAGGCATATACTTACTGTACATATATAGCACACTGTGGAAAGTATATGAATCATGGCACAGTGTTGAACAGTGGAACACATGTCTAATAGTGAAGTACTCCAACTCTTGATACATATCTAAATGTAAGTGGAACACCTCCCAAGTGGAACACTATTCGGAGTTACCAAAGATGTTCTACTTATGGGTTTACTGTTTTCAAACATATATTAGAGAAAAGTGAAAAATCAAAGTGATTTTTGTTGAAAATGTAATATTTTGTCTGAAATGAAACACTGCCATACCCTACAAGGTGTCCTGGAAGTCGAGTCCAAATGCTCTGATTTATAGAAACTTGATTGAATTTACTACAGATTTTATATTAACATTATAAATGTTCATGATATTTAGTCTCTTAATGTTATTATGATTGTTATGGTAAAATGAAAAATGGGAAAAATAGAGCAATCAAATATGTTTACTTTCTGGACGCCCTGTATTTCCCATGCCCATGTTGAAAACATACATTGCAGATCAAAGTTGAGATTCAAAGAAAGGAGAAATCTTTTAATCTACCACATTTTGGCAGATTTCTTGTAAACCATATGGTACAGTGGATGCATATAATTTGCAAAAAAGGGGATTGTATTTATCACATTAGCAATTAATAAGCAAAATGTGGACAGGTACATAAAGGTTATTCACTAGGAGGGATTGAATATGGTTTTATACCCAAGGAAAATATGATATTTCTCTGAAATGTCTTGTGAAGTACAAATAAAAATATATTTATTGCAGTTAAATCAGAATTTGACTGAATTCTAAGGCTCAACTGCCTTCACATTAAGTACTTAGTACTCTGTCCATGAAGTTTCAGTTGAATGGGTCTTGTAGAATTTTTAAGGCAGTAAATGCTACTTTGATATTTACCATATTTTCAGAAAATATTTATTATTAGGTTAGTATTTAAAGATAAGTTTTGTTAGCCAATTTTGATTTATTTAAATTATAACAAGACATAGTAAAAACTATTATATGATGTGTATATGCTGTATGAATATGTAGTATAGCATGTTGGTGCTGACTTGTTACAAGTCTAGTTGTAGATTATTTATTAAATGCAGTGTACATGTAATTCAAAATCCTGAGAGAAAATACAATTGGTATAATGTAGATCAATATAAATATAGATCAGTCAAAATTGTGGGGTTTTGCATTAAACTGAATAATCCATCCAGTAGACCATGCTACCTTGGTTATAATAATCTTCTTGCCCACCATCCATATATGAATTGACATAGACAGTGGAAAAGCAGCATCTTATAAGTGGAGGAGGGATTACTTTGTAACTTTGTACTGTTATTAATATTTGGAGGCCTAAGAGCAAGATCGACTGGATGGCAATTTGGAATCCATTAATGGAGGTAGAGTAACTATGGTGAATTTGATATGTTCATTATTTTCAAATTCATGTTCGTGATGTCCTTTTCTTTGAAGGAAATGAGTGGCAAGTCTGAATGTGAACCAATTTGCCTGCTGATTTTCAGAAATACAACCATATTGAGACTTGAAACCTCCCGCAGTACTGTATATCACTGTCTTCTGCACTTATGTCCCATTATAAAAAGACTGGGACATAAGCTACATCCATTATTAAGCCCTTAGTAATGTTACAGGGTGAGCACCTTTGTGATTAGGGGATGGGGATTGCCTTTATATTGGTGTAAACAATGCCATAAGAGTATACGCCTCTTTGATAATGAAGGCAAACATCTGCTGAACTTATACAGATAGTTGTTGAAGCAAAAAATGTATAAAATAGAGGTACACCCTGTATTACACGTAGCTGTAATTCTAATAAATTAAGGAATAAAATAAATATGTAATAAATACGATTTGCTTTATTTATGTCATTCTTATCAACCTCACCAAGTTTATATTAATATAAAATTAAAGTGGCAGTTCTTATTTTAAGAACATTAGGTTACAATGCTTCATTCTGATTCTTGGCATGTACAGGGTGTTCAATAAATATTGCTCATTTTGCTATAACTTTTGTCTTATTACTTTAATCTTTATGAAATGTTCACCAAAAATATAATATCGGACACTATTCAATCAAAGTATCTTAATATTTGATAGCTTTAATTGTCATAAAATATTCACTTATTGAAAACCCTGTAGAATGCTAGTGTATCCTAGATCTCATATCAAACTTCTCAAAGAAACCAGGGAATGCTCTGTTCAGCTTTTACCAGTATTTGAGTAATCACTTTGAGAGAATGAAATTCACAAAATAATTTTAGCACTGTTTAGGCTAAGTCAGTAGTTTTCAATGTGTATGAGAATTAAGAATGTCTGATGATTGCATCCTCCGAACGCAGGGTTCCAGACATCATCCACTAAGTTCTTCCTTCTTCTTGGAAGAAGGAGTTAGAAGTTCTGGAAGCCTGTGTTCTGATGATGGGTGATTGTCACAAAGGCCCTTACTCTGCCATAGTCATTTTCTAATAGAGCCTATTTGTATCAATACAATTTAGTCTTCCATATATCCTTGTTTGTGTCAGGTTGATATGTATGTTCGAGGCACTAGAGTTATGATTGGACGGCTTAACTCCAGTCTGACACATTGTAACGTAAGTAACTGATGCTTAATAGATTTAGTTTGCATTGAAATTGCTGCGATTGTGAACATGCTATGCCTGATAATGTGTCCATGCCTATTCCACACAATTCCTCTTTTTAATGGAGCAATGAATTCTTTGTTGCAATTTAGGATATGAACATTATCATATGCACACTGTTCTTTCCAAATTCCATTGATTCATTTGCTTAATGTACTTCAGGCCCATTGGCAGCCTTTTTCCATGAACCCCTAAACTCCCCCCTTGCTCAAATCTGAACTTTATCTTTCATTTCAAGACATGATCCATTTCATTCCTGGGATTCACATGTATATCAACATCCACTCCTCGGACTCACTACTTAGATTCACATATATATTGACATATAGGTAGGTGCTTTAGATTTCAATATAGGTGTACACTCTTTTCCACCATTTTGTTCTAAAGTGTGTAAAAGATCTGTCACTTTGTCTCTGTGTTTTTTATCCATCAACTTCTTACATATCTGGAAAAATAAAAAATTGGTCATTACAAAATGGGAAAAATACAAAGTTTTATCAAAAACTTTGGTTAAAACAAACTAAAAGGAAAACATGCAACTTACAAAAACAACTACAAAGAACACATTTTAAATATCATACTCATAATTAAAATATATTTTGTGTGACCCCAATATGAATATCATAGGGACATGTACCTAAAAGTACCTTCAAATTTCTGTGATGAATTATCACATTATTCAGTATCAATCCTTAATATCTATTAAGATGACCTTGACCTCTAGATGACCTTTAATGTCCCGAATTTGATATTAAAGTTACAGGGAGCCACCAATCCACCAGGAAGACCATAAGATGACCCATCCATGTGACCTTGACCTCTTTGTGAACCTTAACTTACTGGCACTAGGAGGACCTTGAGATGAGTATTCAAGGCTGGACCAACTACTGCACTAAGCTGCATAACTGCATCTAGACCTGCATCAAAAACACCTGGATCACTGTCACTCTGAAACACATATTACCATTGTCAAAACACATATCACTCAATATTATATTAAATGGGGAAATCAACAATGGAAATATACAAAAAATGTTTTTTCAAATGACCCTTTCAGTCATCCTTCTCCTTCTTTCAGTTCTCCAGATAACTTTATTCTCCAGATAAGTATATTAAATGAATGTAATGGTGTCCGTTATAATGACTGTAGCATTGCGGTTATCATGGAAACCATGATTTCTGATGATTTTCTCTTTTTTCTGTATTTTTTACTCATTAAACATGTTATCACTTCTCACCTGTTCTGTATTTTTACTCATCAAACATGTTATCACTTCTCACCTGTTCTGTATTTTTACTCATCAAACATGTTATCACTTCTCACCTGTTCTGTATTTTTTACTCATCAAACATGTTATCACTTCTCACCTGTTCTGTATTTTTTACTCATCAAACATGTTATCACTTCTCACCTGTTCTGTATTTTTTACTCATCAAACATGTTATCACATATGCTAAGCTATATACTCTTTCAGATTTGTATATATTATATATTATACCACTCTAAGTCCAATTACAGTTGTATAACATGGGTCTATAACAACGATATACAGTGGAGAGTGGTATATCGTCATCGTATACAACTCCTCCGTATACACTCCAGCGTATACCACTGTAGAAGTGCATTCTGGGAACTAATGAATAAAAAAATCATGAACATTTTCATGATTTCCTAGAATCAAGTGACGTCATAAATGGTTCTGGCATGATTTGCTAGAATCAAACAACGTCATAAATGGTCCGAGATAAACATCAGCATTATTGAGTTGGCTATGGGATATTTTTATGTTTTTTTTAATTGTTATGATTGTGTTCGAATCAACTGTAATTGAACGTAAAGTGGCATAATAAGATTATATAATGGTTCATTCTGTATATCGTGCATTTTATACTCTCGTGCGAATATAATATATTCACTCGTTCGCTACGCTCACTTGTGAATATATCATATACTCACTCGAGTATAACCACGATATACAGAAAGAACCATTATATAACCTCATAGTATGTGATTTTAGTCTGTTCATTTAGGATAAATCTTCACTTACCAAAGTTGTTCTTAAAGGAGGCATGAGTTTTGGTAAAATTTGGACAGTTTGATCGCATGCATGAGGAGCTTCTAAAAGCTCCTTGAATCCCATCTTAGCTACAAATGTATATGGATGGATCTTTTCTTTGAGGCCCTACAATCATATTAAACATTCATTCAATAAGATCCACTGCTATAATTACATTCTATAGTAACTGGTCCCCAGTATAAGGGGAAGAAAGATTAAAGACTTTTGTCATGTGTATCTAGGATTTGATTTTAAGATTACTATTTCTTCTAGGGTGACCCAAAAATGCGACACTCTATTTTTAGTTCCTTAATGCTGGTGAAGTATACCTCAGTTTGATCGAAGAAAATTCAAGAAAGTTTTACCATGATTGAGAAATTCATTCCAAATTCATTGGGCCACCCTGTATTTATATTTTGCTTTGATAGCAGAATGAAACTTACTAATACTGTATGTATGATGCATGTAAATAGGCTCAAATAAAACATACCTCAGCTAGGGTGACTAATACTGGATCAAATGCTACTTGCTCTACAGGAGGTTCCCAGGCCAGCTTGTGTTTCACTGAACCATGGACCAGCCTAGAATTATAGATAGAATACATTGTAAGAAAATGCCATCACTTGGTCATATATATACGCATTTGAGAGATTCTAATTGGATGATAATTGATAATAATATCAGAACTATGATATAGGTCAAACAATGTGTTGCCATAGAAGCACATATCACACAAAATCTCAAATCTCACAGAATGACAATCATGCCAATCAAACATTGGGTGATTGCTGTATTACAAATTTGGAAGATCCATATTTTGTAGTCATGGTAACAGATATTACCCTTAATCTACGAGTAAGAGAAATGGGTTGGTGAAATTTTGTCATATTTCCACCTCTACCTAAATTATACAATAGCTCAAGTGTCACATGTAAGGTAGAAGAGAGGGGAAACCTCAAGCTCAAGTAACTTTGAATATTTTTTGAAGTCTACCTAAATTATACAATAGCTCGTAAGGCAAAAGGGAGGGGGAAGTTCAAGCTCAAGTAACTTTGAATATTTTTTGAAGTCTGCCTAAATTATACAATAGCTCGTAAGGCAAAAGGGAGGGGGAAGTTCAAGCTCAAGTAACTTTGAATATTTTTTGAAGTCTACCTAAATTATACAATAGCTCGTAAGGCAAAAGGGAGGGGAAACCTCAAGCTCAAGTAACTTTGAATATTTTTTGAAGTCTACCTAAATTATACAATAGCTCGTAAGGCAAAAGGGAGGGGGAAGTTCAAGCTCAAGTAACTTTGAATATTTTTTGAAGTCTGCCTAAATTATACAATAGCTCGTAAGGCAAAAGGGAGGGGGAAGTTCAAGCTCAAGTAACTTTGAATATGTTTTGAAGTCCCTTTGAAAGTGATCATAACAACTAACCTGCAAGGTATTCCACCATTGGTATATACAGAAGTCCCTATGAAAGTGATCATAACAACTAACCTGCAAGGTATTCCACCATTGGTATATACAGAAGTCCCTATGAAAGTGATCATAACAACTAACCTGCAAGGTATTCCACCATTGGTATATACAGAAGTCCCTTTGTAAGTGATCATAACAACTAACCTGCAAGGTATTCCACCATTGGTATATACAGAAGTCCCTATGAAAGTGATCATAACAACTAACCTGCAAGGTATTCCACCATTGGTATACAGTAAAACCTGTCTAATCCGAACACCCATGGGACCAGCCAAAAGCGTTCAAATTGGCAGGTGTTCAAATTTCGAGGATATTGTTGGTCGCGGGGGGGGGGATTTTCATTGTTCAGTCCACTATATTGAACACTTAATACTACAATAGGCCTATAGCCTACATGTATATGCTATGTTTTATTTACATTTTAAACAATTTCATTATTTTTGGAAAAATAACTCTTTAATTTTGGCAAAAACTTTGTAATACACTGAATAAGTGTATAATAGTCTTGTACGAAATCTTATGCTTATTAAATGACTTATCTCATATTATGGTTACATAGCACTGCTTTACTTTAGTTTGAAAAAGTCGTTCATTGTTGTTTGTTTCTTGGCACTTTTAGCATTAGCAATGATATTACAAAGTTGAATTTTTTCTCTTTCTCATGATATAATCTTGTCTGCAAATGTGTCTGTGTTGTCTTTGTGATTATAAAACATTTACTGATTGAATCCCAGCTATCATAACAGACCCATGGGATATAAAACAGTTAAGACTTGTTCATAATCCAAATCAAAAACATCCAGTTAATTTAAAATAAGGATAAACCAATTATCTCCCAGATTCTCACCTTTCTCTTAATCTAAATCAAAAACATCCAGGTAATTTCTAATAATGATAAAACAATTATAATCTTGTCTGCAAATGTGTCTGTGTTGTCTCTGTGATTATAAAACATTTACTGATTGAATCCTAGTTATCATAACAGACACATGGGATATAAAACAGTTAAGACTTGTTCATAATCCAAATCAAAAACATCCAGTTAATTTAAAATAAGGATAAACCAATTATCTTCTTGATTCACACCTTTCTCTTAATCCAAACATAAAACATTCAGTTCTTTTCTAATAGGATAAACCAATTAACTCCCGTATTCACACCTTTCCTGTTGTTTTCCACAATTAGGGATGTCATTGAGACTTAAATAAGTTAATTAGGACAATATTGGTTCTTTGATTACATTGCATATGTAAAGATAATAAGAACTATAACTTTGACTCAATATGTGGCTATAATTGAAATGTCCAGACATTTGATTTCTGATAAAATGTTCAGATTAGACAGGTCAGTTTTTCAAATCTGATTGTTCACTGTTCAGATTAGGAGGTGTTCAGATTTCAAGGTTTTTTTAACATGGGAGTCAATGGGAGGAAAAAATGGGACCGAAAAAAAGTGTTCAAATTGGAAGGTGTTCGGATTAGCCAGGTGTTCAGATATACAGGTTTTACTGTATACAGAAGTCCCTTTGAAAGTGATCATAACAACTAACCTGCAAGGTATTCCACCATTGGTATATACAGAAGTCCCTATGAAAGTGATCATAACAACTAACCTGCAAGGTATTCCACCATTGGTATATACAGAAGTCCCTTTGAAAGTGATCATAACAACTAACCTGCATGGTATTCCACCATTGGTATATACAGAAGTCCCTTTGAAAGTGATCATAACAACTAACCTGCAAGGTATTCCACCATTGGTATATACAGAAGTCCCTTTGAAAGTGATCATAACAACTAACCTGCAAGGTATTCCACCATTGGTATATACAGAAGCAAATGCAGACTTCGCCTTCTTTGGATTGGCAAACTGAAAATTATGCAATCTTATAATTATTAGCACAATACTGGGTGGCCAAAATGTAGGTTTACAGTTACAGTTTATAGAACACAGATTGTTGAATAACTATAAACCTACTTTTGAGCCACCCTGTTCAATCGTACCAGGTCTATCATACTTCAAAAGAGAAAATGTGACCTTTTCCAATAACTTCATAGTACATTTATCTAGTTTCCAAAAAGAAGAGATTATGTCCAATGAAGCATGTACATGTATTATTTTTTGAAGATGCTGAAAAACAAATAGACTAAAAGTTATGAAAACAAACTGTACTCACAGGATCAATTGTCTTTGGGTTTAATCTATTAGATAATTTTCCAGTTGCACTTGGAGTAGGCTTCTTTGTACCACCTGATCCAGGTTTTGCACCAGGTGTGCGAGATCCTTTTCCCGCAGTTGCAAAACTCATTATTGAGTTGTATAGAACAGTTAATGTTACTGAAACACAGAAGTATACAATTATTCAAATGTCCAATTGGTGCAACTATTGACCGTCATAAGGGAGGGGTCTATAAAACCTATTTCACACTTTGGACCATTTTTATAATACAATAAAACTTGACAAGGCATTGACATACAAAATGTCACCACTGGCAAACAAATACATGTACATATAATAAATTCTCATATTGGATGGGCATAAAAATGGGCTGTACTTTGACACTCAATATCTCCAAAACACTCTTACATTCACTTCTACATCAAAAGTTGATCAATAAGTCATCCATCTTCCCCAGGAATTCATTCACAGTTTTTTCCCCTTTCCAACCCTTCTCATTAGTGTCCGCCACACAGAAAAAACATCTTGATTCAGTAAAACCTGTGCTTATTTAGCTGAAGAGTTTCTTTGACACTACAGCAAGATAATTTTATCAGACATCACTTGATTAATGCATATGACATGGTTGTAGTTCATGGTCTGCTCATGAAAGCTGACACGTAATGCAATGTGAGTCACCGGAAAGTGCATTTTTGAGATTTTGTTTTCATTTTAACCCTGTGTATATAACATGTCTAAAGTTTGAAGGGTTTGAATAAAGAATAATGGGTCAATGCAGCATGACAGTATGGGCCAATTTTTTATATCCAACTGATATATTTATCATCATCAACATTTCTAGGAGTACAAGACTTATGCCTGTGTGTTCCTCCCTTCAAGAAACAGTATACAGTAAAACCTGTGTATATTGAACGCTTTTTTGCCAAGAAAAAACGTTCAGTGTTTGTAGGTGTACACTATAGAGAAGGTAATTTAAACAGAAGTCAGAAGAGTATGTGCGGAGGAAGGGTGTCTTTTAGAGACAGGTGTTTACTGCGACAGGTTTTACTGTATAGTTCAATAAACTGCTTTGGTATTTTATTTCCCAAAGATTTGATCTATAGTAAATTGATAGATAAATTATGTTATAATTCACAATATTCAATGGTATAAGGTGATGATAGGAAATGCTATGATGGATTATGATTCATGAAATTATGGTTCAGTCATAGTGAACATCATCCATTGACCTCTATTGATAGTTACACTTATCCTGTTCCCGGACTATAGTCCTGTACGGAGCCCATACATTTGCCTGTACGATTACAACTTGGGAGAATTATCTACGCCCCTTCCACTTAAGAAACCTACCTCAATGCATTCTACAACTCAAAATGTAACTTCTAATATATTGGAACCGCCGATTGTCTGGGTTAGTTGGCAGAACGAGGTCTTTTTGTTTCTTATGGCTCTTTTGGTCGAAGTTCGATTAAGATGGCGGTTATAACGGAATTTCCCGAACTCTTCCGTAATAGCACGAACTTGGTTTTTCGTTACTTCACTTCCATGTAAAATGGATTTGTTTCCGGTAAGAAACATTGTTTAACCATTCGGTATACAGTTAAGAGCATAGGATGTCGACATGGCAGTAAATATTGAAAATATTGTCCGAAATTTTCGAAATTCCCTCTTACCCGAAACAAATCCATTTTACACGGAAGTGACGTAACGAAAAACCAAGTTCGTGCTATTACGGAAGAGTTCGGGAAATTCCGTTATAACCGCCATCTTAATCGAACTTCGACCAAAAGAGCCATAAGAAACAAAAAGACCTCGTTCTGCCAACTAACCCAGACAATCGGCGGTTCCAATATATTAGAAGTTACATTTTGAGTTGTAGAATGCATTGAGGTAGGTTTCTTAAGTGGAAGGGGCGTAGATAATTCTCCCAAGTTGTAATCGTACAGGCAAATGTATGGGCTCCGTACAGGACTATAGTCCTGGAACGGGATAAAGTTACACCTATTAGAATCCCTGAATGGATGGTGTTCACTATGGGTACAGTTCAGGTTTCAAAAAAAAATTACTCAAACTTGCATCTAAATATTTACACACTAAATTTGATATGTAGATGTTCCATTTATATTTATAAATTATAAAACATTTATAAGTGAAGTTGTAACTGATCAAAGTGCAACATTTCATTTGACCCTTGATGATTTCTACAGTGCTGATATATAATAATAAAGGGTGCGTTTTCAAACTAAACAGAGTGCTCCTACCAAAATGAATTTGCCTACATACCCCTGAAACTCTTATCTGATGGATAGAATGAACAAATAAAACAAAGGTTTTGCTATTATAGGTTAAAAGTTCTGTTGAAATTTCGAAGTGATTTTACCTGTTAATTCTGTTCATGGTCCGCCATTTTTGCGGAAGTTACACTGAAACGCAAACTCCATGAAACGAAACGAAATCACTAGAAAAAAACATGGCACACATCGTGCGCATGTGCAGCAAAGTTTAAACCAATCAGATTATTTGATTATTTTGCGCACATGAATTATTTGCTTCTGAGCACTTACAAGCTTACCACAATAAACAAACCTGGCAGAGACTACCCTTAGCCTACTTCATTTTGGCGAAATTTCAGCTCAAACTCGTGACAAATGCATTATGCATACGTTGGTGTGAAGCCTTGGAGACACTCATTTTGGTAAATATGATTTATGGGGTATACTTTTCTGCAGTTTGTGGAAGTTTGGGACATTAAATGTTAAAATTCAATGAAATATTCCAATTAAACGACTAATCAATTAATATATACCAGCACTGTATTTTGTGAATGACAACTCAATGACTGACATAAAAATTAGATGTCTCTGTTGATTCGAAACCACATGCTATCCATCTAAATGTTTTCTAATATACAGGAATAGTTTGTAAAAGTCAAGTATATTTCATATACGATTACTTTACGTTGGAAAAGAGCTAAAACTTACTTGAATTTTAAAATTTAAAAAATGTGTCCACCATCTTGTTATTTGCAATGCATCATGGTCGTTGCTATGTCAAAAATCAATTAGATTATTCATTTTCCACTATATTAACTAAAATTTATCACCATAATAAATTATTTTTACATTAATAAAACATTTTGTGTGATTTGAGATCGTAATATTGCTTGATTTGGTGCAAAAACCGCTCTCATCGACAGTGCGCATGCGCAAATAAAATTTTGTACAAAATTAGAATCTCCAATATTTTCCACACATTCGTACGTTTATGGCAGTTGTGCAGTAAAGTAAAGGATTTATAACACAGAGCTGAATGTTGACTATATTCTGAGAAAATTTTGACCTAATACTTCGAGAATGGATAAAGTTATCTCGAGTCAAATATTGTTGCCACTTTTTTGCTTGTTGAGCATTTGGAGTGGAACCAGTTTTGCTGATGATCTGCCAACATGTCAACCGGTAAGTTCATGCGCACTTATTAAAAAAAATTTGTTCATCATATTTCTAAACAAAAGTTGCAGCATTTATCTTTCATGGAGATCTGCATCATGTTCTGTAGTTATAGATCACTCTCACAAAATATAAATTTCGGCTAAAATATAAGGGTCCTTCATGAACTTTAATGTATGGGGTCATTTGGTCACGGGGCTTTCAATCTATCCATTCTGCCATGTTTGTTGTTTGAAAATTTTAATTGGGAGATCTCATCCAAGATTATCAAACCTGAAAATTGGAATATTGGCCATGATGTCGAAATAAACCCATGGTCAAAATAACCCCATACGTGAAAGTTTGACGAAAGGACCTTTAATGGTATATGTCGATTAAATCTCTGATCTTATATTATACAATTAAGTATATGATTTCTGTGTAGCATGATTTCCACTATGAATACACGGAATGTGACAGTTCAGGTGGACGTTGGAGGGTCTCAGTACCAGACCCCAAAACATGTATAGGTGGTGCCCCAAATCCACCTCAACGTGGCAAAGATTGCAGTGAGTAATGAGTTACCAACTCAATGTTGTTGGAGGATGGGAAGCTTTCTTTTGTTGTAATTTTACTTTTTATTACTTTTTTCAGGACATAGATAAGACTGACTTATGAATAGAGACCATACATCGTGTTTATTGTTTAAAATGCAACTATTCATAAGTTAACGTGTTGGTGATAGGGAATTTTTTTAACAGTTGAGTTCTCTCCCCAGCATTTATCCAACTAAGTGTCAACGATTTGAAAGTACCTTTCATTCAATTTGATGTCTATTCATACAAGTGGTGCGACTCGCAAGCAAAATGCTTCTGATATGTTGATAATTCATTTTATACAGCGCCTATGTAAAAATATCCTCGGGGACTGGGGTATGCAATAGTTATTATTCAACATAACACGCTACTTGAGTAAAAAAAAACATGCACCCATTCAACTATGTAGGACAGATTTATGAGTAAATGGTAGAATTATCATTCAAGTTAAACACTACCAATTCATATCTTTTGATACCTAATTGAGAATGTGAAGAGCATTGGGACATTTTCATCAAAAAAGGCTATTAAAAAGTTTGCACCTAGTTGAGAAAAATCCTGAGGAGAACACTGCGTTATACTTTATTCTATATATGAATTTCCTTTGCTTGAGTCTTTTCCATTGATAGATAGATGACAAGCTAAAAGACATATTGAAAAAGATATCACTTCTAAAACATGGAAATTCATTTATAAAATTTCAATTATTTTTATTTTTTGTTTTACTGTATGGGTGGCAGATTTTCTATTATACATTTTTATTCCTCCTGTAGAAGGACTACCACTATGAGTATACTGAGTGTGATAGTTACGGGGGACGTTGGCGGGTGTCAGTGCCTGCCCCTGACAAATGTAACCCAAATGGCACTGCTCCCAATGCTCCAGTACGTGGCAAGGCCTGCAGTAAGTGAATGTCTTAAAAAGTATGCTAATATAACAATGGCACATGCTTTGCAAGATATAATGCCAGGTTGCAAGCAAATAATCAAAGAAAATAAACATGCAAAAATCACATCAAATAGACTCATCAACAGAAATGGTTTAACCATTTGCAAAATTAATATGAAAATTAACCGACTAATTTCTAGCCTAAAATTTGTAGAAGTTTACTACTGACTTGAAAATCAAGGTAAAGTATGAAAAATCTAATTCCTTCTAACTTACTATTAGGGTATTCAAATCTGCTGGTATTATGGAGGTGGAGGGTATATTTACAAAGGTTAAATGGGTCGAAATATATTTTTCTGATAGAATTATCTTTATGAAAATGGGTAGATAAACCCGTGTAAAAACGTTGGTATAAAAGCTTAAGTAAGGGGAAAGAATATTTTGGCCCAACTCTTCTGTATGTTAATACATGGATGCTAATATATTTAATTAAAGTATAACATATATATGTATTTTGATTATGTTGGTGATGGGTGATTAATTATATGTTAGCTCTAAGCTCTTTGGATTTTGAATTTCACCACATGTGTTGATTTGCCTGCAGTTTCTCACAAAATTAAAACTGCTGTCTCAGATTAGCTCCTAACAATCAAAAGATGAGATTGTCAAATTAGCCTCATATTCTGCAGTCTGAGGACAACAATACTTTTTTCTAAAAAGGTACAGTGCGGCATATGAGAGACGTTAAGTAAAGCTACCATTAGATACTGGTCATAAATTGATATAGCCTAAATTCCCGAAATAATTACTTGCTTGGTTTGTCATCATGCCAGATTACAGCCTTCTATCAGATCCTTGCTAGAAGCACATTGATAGTTTGAAAACAGAAGATGTGATGCATAATAGAATCTTGTATTTTTCTGTCTGTTAGAAAATTAACCATATATAATGTACATTCGAATCGTACTTCTATCACAACCATGAATTGAATTGAAATATTGCATGTTTTGATGTCATAGAGTAAACTATACAGTACCTGGTATCTTTGGTACATCCATCATATATAAGAGGCTTTTGATTGGGCAATGCTTACTTCATAAACAACTCAGATACAAAATCTTATTTAAAGTTATTATCTGGTTCATAGTAAAATTCACTAGATATTGTTCTACGGGTCAGTGCTTATGCTTCATAATGGTTAACCCATGTCTACTTGAGCATGACTATGGTCACGTATGGTGTGACCTAAAAAACAACAGCAAAAATACACTTTATGGACCTTTTTCTGCACACTCGCCTTTGATGTTTAATACATTTTCTATAAATATGAACTGATACTTATTAATGAAGCATCAAAATTGGTAGCGAAAAGAATATAATTTTCAGGTCCATAATTCAGTTGGATAAGAGTATTACTAATACTTTGGTTAAGATCCTTGAACACAGTACAAATAACTAAAATGCTCAATGTTAATCATAAAATTGTATAAGGATGCTGAATGATAGAGGCAATCTCATATGACGCAGTTGTTAATAGACATGATATTCACTTCCCTTGCAGATTATTTGCTTTTTCAGACATTTGTGCGCAGTTTCTTTGAAACTGGATATTTACTGTAAAAGTCAATATATGTTAATTAATCTTATTAGTTCAGGTTTAACTTCTTAGTTTATATATTATTAAGCTGATATAATTAGGGAAAATTATAATATTTCCAAAAGTGAAATTTTATATCTGGGTTCAGAACCTAATAAGAGAGTTACATTTTTATTACGATGTTCTGTTTTCTGCGCAACAAGTTCTTTCTGTGTTAGACAACTAATAAGAGCAACATGCTTTTCAACATTGAAAAATCAATAATGTAATAATGTTGACTCATTCTGATGGAACATCCAATTTGAACTTCCATTGTGATTGCTAATTATTGTGGTTTTCGGTGAGATTACACATAAGTGTTTTATCTCGGTAATAGTCGAGTGTCTGATTATTATATCGATTGCTTTTCCGGAATGTTCTGTAATATAAAATTCATGAATTTATAATTATTTTCATAGCCATTGTTTGTTAACAAGTTCAGTACAACCTTTTGTTACAGCGTATCAAATTTATTAAAGGGAGATTTAGATGTAGGCAAATTGTAAGCAACATGTGGACTCATCCTACCAGAATATTCTTCACTATTTCAAATACATTACTTCTTCATAGATCCATGATACCTTCTCAAATGATTTTAGTTATTTACGATTCAAAGTCCAAAAATGTGTAATATCAACTTTTGCAGAAAAATGAACTTGTTAATATAAAAATTTAGTTTTCTTGCAATGAAGTATAAGATTTTTAGAACATGGATATTATGAAGAAAAATATGAGCCTAAAATGTTATAAAATTAAAACAATTTTGCAAAAACATTGCTTGCTGGATCTGATTCTGCCTTTAAATATTTTATTTTATTCAAAAACAGAAGTAAGGTTTCCTCATATAGCTTGAGAATAAATCACAAACATCAATAAGCAAAAAGAACGATGCTGTATGCTTACAAATATTAAGATAAAACAATTTATTTAAGTTATTGGGAAAATATCAACTTACGGCAGATGATAAGGCAAATCTTTTAGAACAAAGGAACGACAACAGGTTGTTTTTTTCACATCAATTATTGTAGTTCGTAATTTGATAAACACAGCATAATACCATCATTTTGACTCCATAGACCCACATATTATGTGCTTTTACTCTCTAACAGTATTGATTAGTACGAGTTGTGAATTGTAATATAAGAATTAACGATGCTGGTTATCACATTGCTTCAAATACTTGTGATATTTGATTAAATATAAAGGATTCATAGATGTATATTAGATCAATACTCCTTTTCAATATAGCAGGTATATGAATGGATTGTCATTGTTTGTGCCATTTGTGTAGTTAAAAGGGAACAAAGAATAGAGGGTGTAAGATGTTGGAAGGAATCTTTTTGACAAGCATGCCAATGTTTACCTAATAATCCAAATTTTGTAATCTTAAAGATAAAGAATTGGGATATCTGATCAAATATGGAAGTTATAGAAGATGGAGAAATTTCAGATTTTTTGACAACTAGTTCCAAATAACTTAAATAATCAAGGTTCAGTTTTAGCCATGGCTTCGTATATTTAATGTAAATAACTTCCTATGAATAAATTAGAGAGATTTAAATGGTTAAAAGTATATAGTATATCATTGAAACATTAGAGTGGCTAATGTGTCATATTCCTAAGAGCTACTCAAGAAAGTTGTTCAAATCACATGTTTTATTGTACCTGATATGATATGTTTGTACCTCCAAGGCTTCCCAGAACATCAACTAGTTAAGATAATGGCAAAATTAATCTAAGCAAGATTAGTTTTTTGTTAAATTATTCTTTATGTTCCAATAAGACAGATTATTACCACCAAAGCTATATATACTTAATTAAGGTAGTGCTACCTGTTTTAGACAAGTTTAAATGCTATTATCAATATGCTTTACACAGCATATTTCCTTTAAATATAATAAAAACAATTCACTATACATGTATACAAATGCAAAAATATTAAATCTTTCACTCATAAGTAAGGAGACATTACTTGTATGAAGTTTCAAACAGACGTAATGCAGGATATTTTACCTTAGGAACATAGATAACAGATATTTTAATTCATTGTAGCTTTCACATGTGAGGCGGGAAAGTACTTAGATCTAAATGGCGACCAAGAGTGTCACGCTTGCCCTGCGGGGGAGTATTCCCTTGGGGGTGGAGCAAAATTTGAGGACTGGACAGAACTCCCCAAAGGATTCAGTATTGAGACAGAGGAGTTTGCTGGGGCGTTAGCCACTGATGAAGAGGGAAATTCTGCGACTAATTGTTCACAGTAAGTTCAGTAAATTACATCGGTGAATATCAACAGTGAAAATGTTGATTAATATTGCATGTAATGTGTCGAAAAATGATAGCGACTAACTTGGATCCAAATGAATAGTGCAGAAACTTCAGATGTCATTTTAACCCAACATTTCAGAACAAAATTTGCTTAAGTTAAGACTTATTGGTCAAAAATTACCAGTAGATATTCAATATTTAGATATTTGTGATTTTGCCAGTAATAAAATATGTTTTTCCAGCTAAAAGTCAAGATTCTTGTGGGAAATTCATATCAATCATTACTGACAGCAATTTTAATCAAAATGATCAATATTTCCAGCTTAATTTTAACCTTTACTCAATCATGGCATCTCTAAGCATCATAAGGAAGTGTTATATGTCTGAAAGTAATCTATAATTTGTCATTAGGGTCACTGAAAATATTTGATACAGAAACAAAACACAAAATGCATGTATTTGTTTATTTTTCCAGACAAGGTTGGAAAACACGCAAGGACTACATAGCTTCAGTACCAAAACATTGCACCAGTAGTCTCGTATATACCGCTAATTTAGTGAGAGCAGGGTCTGTCTCATTTACATATCAATATGCTGACAATGGAATACTCTTCCATTTCTTGGTAAGTAGGCTTGAAATCAATAAAGAAAATACAAAGGACATTCCGACAACATTGAACATAAAATCACAAGTCCTGTTTTGAACTAATAGGAAATGTAAATACATTGCATGGCATCTTGCTTTCTACCCTTTTCTTTTCAGTCTTAGTTTTCCATGCATGCCATTGTCTGCATTGGCAAAAGATTAAGTACAAATAGATTTTTGTTACAAGTAACAAACAATAATATGTCATTCTGTTATTACAGACATCACTTAATAACCTGTCATTCTTTTACAACCAATATGATAACCTGTCATTATTTTAAAATACCAATATGATAACCTGTCATTCTTTTAAAATACCAATATGATAACTTGTCATTCTTTTACAATACCAATATGATAACCTGTCATTATTTTAAAATACCAATATGATAACCTGTCATTCTTTTAAAATACCAATTTGATAACTTGTCATTCTTTTACAATACCAATATGATAACCTGTCATTCTGTCCCAAGTGTCACTTGATAACCTGTCATTGTTTACAGGTTCAGAACAGTCAATGTCAGGGTTATGGAGACCGTGATTCTAGTCGATGGCCTTCATTAACTGAAGATGGCCAGTGGAGAACTCAAGTGTTCAGTTTGAAGTCGGGGCCTAATACTTTGGTATGGAAGACGATTGGGCTCAGTTCCTCAGAAGGCACGAGGAAACCTATCCTTATTAAGGAAATAGTGCTGCATGGTAAGTACTGTCTTTGTGCTATTTATAAGGTTGGTAAAGCAGAGAGAGTGCTTGCATTCTGAATTCATGTGCAAACATGTCAAAAGCTGTATCTCTCAGAAACAGTTGTTTTACTGTATTATTATCCAACGTGTGTGAATGACATATGTAGTATATATATTGTATATGTGTCATAGTGGCAAATCATCATATCATTGGTTATGCACAGTTTTAACAGTATTCCATTTATTTAAATCTTTATTGTGCGTTTTATCTCCAGGTGTTGCCTACACGTCCCAGTGTTCCAAGTGCAAGGAAGGAACAATGAGTGCAGAGGGCTCCTCCTCATGTACAATGTGTGAGCCAAACACATACGCTCCTAAAGGATCACCAGAGTGCAAGAATTGTGACTCCACCACTGAATATTCAAGTAAGCATACATTGCTGGCACAGATTACAATTGCTATTCATATAAGGTCATATTTACAATCATTTTGTGTGTGTTCATTGGTAACTATTTTATCTGTCATGAAATTGAAAATTCTGACATTTAAGTCACATTTCAGTCACAACTGAATTGTCAAGTTAGCATACATTTTTTATAGCTTAATTGAATTTATGAGGAAATATTGGTCACTTGGAAGGTCTTCCTGACCCAACTGGCAGAAGTGCCCATATATAATTCACTTACGAGGTCCCATAATTGAATTTAAGACAGCAATGAAAAAAGTATTTCACGCTAATTTGAGATATAATTGACGTAATATATTGTTCTAGATGCAGGAGCTGGAGCTTGTACGAAAAGACCTCCATGCAAGGAGAAGGACTATTTTGCTTATAACATGCCATGTGATGAGAAGAAACAGACAAGGAAGATGTACAGATGGGTGGAGCCAACTGTCTGTCGTATAGATGACCCTACATCTGTTAAACTACCCACATCTGGCACCCCAGAACCATGTCCCCCATGTAACCCTGGTATGTGTTTTTACTTCTGGAAATCATAAGGTTTATACTGCATTAACACCATTAACACTCATGCCTACTGGTTGCTCTAAAATAGTTTTAGTCTCCAGAATATACAATTTTTGGTAGTCAATATAAATACACTATCAACTACATTGAATACTAGTACATAAAATAATGTGAATAATAGTACATACTCATGTATGTTGTATATTTGCCACAAAATTAGCCAACTCGTTTAAGTACCTCATGTACTTTAGATCTTCTATTATTATGTCCCCACTAATTGAAGCTTTAATCACTGGTAATCTACATTTTGAGACAATATAAAGGTTCTGTTTGAATTTCATCAAAAATATACTATATTTCATTGTATAAAAACAGGTATGGAGTATGGCAAAGTGAATGGAACAGCAGGTTGTATTTTCTGCCCAAAGAACAGCTTCTCAGATGGCAGTAAAGCATGTGAGAAATGCCCTGCCAATACAGCACCTAACTACAGCATTGAGTATAAATGGTGGAATAATCTACCCCCAAATGTCACCTCTAGCTGTCTATCTATGGACGGTAAGTCTGGTGATCCAAGAAAGACATATATGATTCTTGACATTGTATCTTTTTTTAGATAATTTGTTCATTAATAAATATTTTCATTTTTGGTCTTAAATTTTTCAGGTGATAACATTTATCTTAAGTCATCCTTATTCCACAAAATTTCTGTTAAACAGAACTTCTCTCTACATATTTTTATTTTTTTTGATCTTAAGTTTGTCACTAAATCTCTGTTGAACAAAGTGTGTCATTTCTTAATAAAAAGATCATACCCTTCTTCATTCCATCCTTTTTGACTATTTTCGATGCTATTTTTGTTTTCAATATGACCTCTTGTATTTTAGATGATGGTTGTCGCTCAAAGGAAGGTTGGGTACCAACTGGTGACCACATTGCAAGTGGGATTGGACACGCCGATGACTCGTACCTTTTGTTGAACCTCCACATCAGTGGCTTCAGCGGCAAAGAGGCCACCATCAACGGAAAGGCAGCGGAAATTGCAACTCTTACATTTGTCTTCGAGACCAAATGTCAAGGAAAATGTGAATTTTTCTTCATGCAGGTAAATAGCATTCAATTGATCTGAATTTTAAAAAATGCAAAATCTAGACCAAGCTCAAATCTTTATTCACTCCTTAAAATGATTAACTAACAGCATGGAAATGAAATAGAGATGACGGCTTTGTCTATATAAATTTGAAAATAAGGGATTTCTTTACTGTAATTTAATGATAGGCCAATCCAGTAGATAGTGCCACCTATTGGTGTCAGTCTTTCTTTACAGTTTCATGGCAGAAATAAGATAAACTCATCGCTTTCAAAAACTTACAAATTTGCTTATTTACAAACATTGCTGCCTGTGAAGTATAACAACAATAGGGTTGCGATCTATTGGAAAGGTCTATTGGGTTTGATTTGGATGTAATTTTATTGCAAGGTTCTTGGGAGAAGATACGTGAATGTTTTAAATGATTGGTCAGGTCCAAAACAGAGACAAGAGTACAGGTATTACACCAAGCAGATTCACTGTTATAGTTATTGCTTCGTGTCATCATCCCCTATGAATAACCTCAGATAAACAAGCTACCTTAGCTAACGTTATACAGCTGTTTTTGGGGTCATTCATAGGATTTATTATGTATTAACATTTATAAGTTCTGTTGTTTGTTATATTTCAGTATCAGTGAAACCATGCATGTTGATCAGTGCATTAAGTATGGACAAAGCATAGTGTGTACCCCTTAATTGTTAAGTTGTTATTATCAGAGTCTTGCGCTCAATACGCAGAATACACCATTGTCCTTACAGTGAATGGCTGATACATACACACCCACTTCAAATATGTGAATTGTAATGTTTTAAGGGTTTTCTTAGCAACATGAGTTATCACACATTGCATGCGGACTATCCACACTGAATGCATTAAGGTTTCCAAAGATTCCACTAGTGTAAAGTATTTCCTGTAAATGGATATGTTTTACCAACTCTGTCCTTGGAATCACATTTATTAAATGTCATATTCATTCATTTGATTTCATCCAGTGGCATTTTTTTAGCATTCAGTTTGTTGCTAGATTCCTGGACAGGAAATGTGAAAAAGTCATTCCATAGGTACATATGTGATCAAACCTGAATCCCTACAAACCCATTAACTGATGTCTGGATGCACAGTAAAAAAGATACATTAGAAAAAGTCATGGATTTTTGGATGGTGATTTCAAAGATGAAATTACAAGTTGCCATATACCTAAGGTCATCCTAATTACATCAGTAGTGAGGCCTTTGTCCTGTTACTTGTAAGGGATATGTACTGGGAGGTTTTAGATACAGGGTTTATCCGCAGATTTCCCAAGAATTTCAGGAGGTATGGGATCCATGAGGCTATATAATAATTCCTCTACCTCCAAGATTGTTAGATAGAAACAGCATAAGTTTAACAAGGTCCAGTTCCAATTGCATGTTGGTGACATTTAATACTAATAATTTAGAATTCTTTCTTTTTTTAAGATACCCAATTGGCTATTATGATATGTAGTTATGTACCAATCAGTTTTCTAATTTCCCCTTGTTAAATGTTACATATTCTTCTTGTACCACTACCCCTCCCCCATCCCCCAGTTTCATTGTTCACTCCCACTTCTCCATATCATGACAATAGGAAAGCATCATGAAATCTCAATGAATACACATTTATGCATCGCACATTGTTCTCAATGTAGTTAACACGTGAAGATACAATGTGGCGTAACATAGCAGGATGGGATAACACCCAACAAAAGCAAGAGTTCAGGTAACATTACCTCAGCTATATGTGCACCAAGTGAGGAACCTTTGGTCCCCTTCATCACACTTGTTTGTAACTGGGTATCGTGAATAGGTTCACACACATTCAGATGTTCAGCTTTTGGGCAAGTTTACCAAGATTTTTGCTCGAGTTTGTGCTCAAAACTCCAATGTAGATTCTTAGGATTGTTGATCTGAGCATTGCAAGTTGTGGATGGTTGATTATACATAGATGTGTATAGAACTACCTTTGACCCTTCCTTATCATGTGGATGCATCTGATTGTGTTTGGACATTTAATAGAACTGTCATCATGTGCTGTATAGTTTTGTCTGTTAGCATCCTCCGATGGCAGGACTCCCAAGATCTAGAAGGAGGTACAGATTCTGGACACCTGCTTTGGAGGATGAACTGTTTGTTGTAGTCACATTTTTGCTTTTTCACCAAAATTTCAAGTATTTGTATTTTGAGTTTGTTGATGTTGTACATGTTAGAGAACTACACCCAATCTCTATTTACTAGGCTGATGTATTTAGCAGTTTTGCTCATATGAGCTGATGTTGACAGCATACAATGATTCATTTTTTATATCTTCAAGCCAAATTAGGAGATTGCATATCATAAACACAGTGAATTGTTTTCACTTGATGTAATTCTTCTTTTCTTTTATTAAATGCTGCCAGTCATGTCTGGTTCCTTTGGATTCAATGTTGTTGCATAATTGTTCTTAGATCCTTTCCAGTCTTATTCATACTGAACCTTTTAGTCTCCTTAAGTAATGCATTCCTCCCAGTTTTCTGCAAGATGAATTGATCAGAATTCAATATTCTGCAAATCTCTGGGAGAAGTATAATTCTGACTTGGGGATATGAAAAACTGAGAAAACAGAGAAGTGATAGTGTTGTGTGGATGTACATAATAAGTTGATCTGATTCTGTTCAGAGATTAGGACACCACCGCCATCACCATAGACACCATAATAGACCCGTAGAAGCCATCAGAATATGGGAGGGAACCATCAACGTTAGCACTGCTAGGTAAAAGATTCAAGATTGGGAATTTGCTTTGCAGCTTTTAGATCGGTGATTGCAGAAAGATTAGAAACTGATCATAATGCCTGATGTCATGATAATCCAAGTGGACTAGTATCAGTTTAGAAACTGGTCATAATGCCTGATGTAATGATAATCCAAGTGGACTAGTATCAGTGTATCAGTGATGTGGAAAATATCTCTTTTTCCCACACTCTATTAGGGGAAGTTTTGGAGAGGGTACAAAAGATTACATGTCACCGTAATAACATGTCTGCAGATGTAGATGTCTTGCCATAGTTGCATCTCAGGTTTTAATGTGGAATTAACTGGATGTGGTTAAATTCATAAAGTGCTATAGGCATAGATTTAACATATAAACAATACTGTAAACTATGGGTTATCTTGAGCTAAATTACTCCTTTTATGATTCAGTACAATGGAGACAACAATTGGTGATATTGGTCCTATCTAGAATGAGTTTAACACTGGAGCTCATGTAATTTATGCTTTAATTGAATTATTTGATTGCTAGAGACACAGAGCAATTGTATTGGAGCCTATTAGCTGGTGGCATGGCAACAATCAGAGACAACAATATAGGTATTCAGAGTACCAGTGTGTTTTAGAGTGTCACTCTTTTCATACTTATTTCACTATATTTCTCTAGAATTTGAATGAAATGCCTGATGTTCTCTGGTTTTGATATATGAAGGGGAATGATTGGAAAAACTCAATAATGAAGTTATCGTATATAAATGTTTTGATTCATCATAAGAAATAGTGGTGAATGCTTTTTATTATTATTAATGTTTTTATTATTCTTAAATCATAGTAATTTACAAAGTACAAGAAAGCAAGACCAATCGCCATTTGGCATTACAGGTCGCTTTAATTCTCAATTGTGATGTTCAACTCAATTGTTCACCTGTGCTCATTCATGAAGAGGCATTTTTTCATATTTCAGAGAACATTTTGTGAAACAAGTCTGTCTGGGTTGGATATTGGAGAAATCATATACAGTAAAACACCCCTCTAATCCAGAACACTTCTCCATGGGAACACTTCCAGTCCCAATTTTGTTGTATTCAATTAGACAGCTTTTACTGTACATGATTTAACTATGTGTGCTATGCTGTTGAATGCAACACTGAAGTTGTATCTTGTTTGAAGAGTGCTCTGCTCTTGTGGGTAGTAGGAACTATGATTTCAAAATCATTCAAAGAAATGGGGTAGGATACAGAAACTTGATTTCAGATGGATATCCCAATCTCTGCATTAAAACATGAATATTTGCTCTTTAGTTTGGAAGCCAGATGAAGTCTGTAGGCGAGTGGTATGGGCGTACCCCTACGCAATCTTTCAGGTAGTTTAATCCACAAGGCCTCTCCCTTTTGGAGTCACTGGTGTATATGTTACAAACACCTATACTGTGCACTACATGTTAAGAGTATAATCACGATAACAATACTTGTTTCTTTCTAATGGAGTAAAACATGCCATGGGGTTACTTTATTTAGTTATTATTGCATATTTGAGGACAAAATGTGTGGCTTTTGGCAGTCACAGTTAATATTTGAGGACAAATTGAGTCTTTTGGTAGTCACAGTTACGGTAATATTTGAGGACAAATCGTGAGTCTTTTGGCAGTCTCAATTAATATTTGAGGACAAATTGGGAGTCTTTTGGCAGTTACAGTTAATATTTGAGGACAAATCATGAGTCTTTTGGCAGTCTCAGTTAATATTTGAGGACAAATCGTGAGTCTTTTGGCAGTCACAGTTAATATTTGAGGACACATTGTTAGTCTTTTGGCAGTCACAGTTAATATCTAAGGACACATCGTGACTCTTTTGGCAGTCACAGTTAATATTTGAGGACACATTGTGAGTCTTTTGGCAGTCACACTTAATATTTGAGGACACATTGTGAGTCTTTTGGCATTCACAGTTAATATTTGAGGACAAATTGTGAGTCTTTTGGCAGTCTCAGTTAAAATTTAAGGACAAATCGTGAGTCTTTTGGCAGTCACTGTTAATATTTGAGGACACATTGTGAGTCTTTTGGCAGTCACAGTTAATATTTGAGGACACATTGTGAGTCTTTTGGCAGTCACAGTTAATATTTGAGGACAAATCGTGACTCTTTTGGCAGTCACAGTTAATATCTAAGGACACATCGTGACTCTTTTGGCAGCCACAGTTAAATTAACTCCTCACACCATTGTATGCATTTACTACCATTTGCGCATATGACAATGAACTCCTGGGGCATGTTTTAACCCATTCTTGAAGTAACACAACTTCTTATTAATGTAACATATATATGTAGTTCAGGGTTAGAGAATTAAATGAAATGTTTGGCATATTCTCTCACATCTATTCAGACTTTATAACAAACTAGGTCTTTGCTGACCAGTAGAAATGTGTGTTTTATTTTATACAATTAGCCAAATTGTGACAATACGGGAAAATACGAGGGGTGATCCAAAAGTCTTGGACGCCCTGCTCTAATTTTGTTGGCTTTTGATGAAATTACTTTAAACTTTCCAATAATAAAGACCAATAACCGAACTACTTTGTGTATTAATTTCATGGAGAAATGATATGTTTTATGTAGATTTCTAGACAGTTTTTAATATGGGGACCCTGCCACCCGGAACGGTATTCACACATGACAACTTTTAGCCTTAAATTATGCCGCCTTTTGACTTGTTTCGCAAGTCTTGACCACTGTCTTTCTTTGAATTGTGAATGTTAAACCATGCTAGTTTACTTCCTTTCTTACTAGGCAACCAATTAATTGTGTTTTAATTATAATGTCACATATGACAATGATCATATATGTCAAATTCTAAGAAAATGACATCAGACAAGCAACCCTCATTCTGGTATCATTTTTGCTCCAAAATGGCTGCTGAAATGCAGAACATGAAAGAAATCAAAGTGGAACAAAGAATATTACAAGATATTTTCACTATTATTGACCTTTAGCAGCTACCATATGCACAATACAGTCTAGATATGGCTTCATGTGATTTTCTTCCTTTTCTCGAAGTTGAAAGGAGGGTTGAAAGAAAATGTTTTTTTACTCATTGGATGAGGTTTAGAGTGGCACTCCAGCAGCATTTGTATCACATAAGGAATGGCGGTTTAATAAATGTCTTCCATTCATTGGTAAAGCGGTATGAAAGATGGGTTCAAATTTGTGGAAAATATGTTGAAAAGTAGGTCTTAATATGTGAAGATGATGATGGCAGATGACACTCAGATTGAAAATCAGAAATTCTCTCATAAAATGACTGGTTTTAGGTTGTGCACCCGCACCTAAAGTATTTGCCATATTATAACAGTTGTGACGTGATTTGCTATATTTAAATACCGTTCCGGGTGGCAGGGACCCAGTGTTAAACAATCTTTACAAAAAAGCTAAAATATATTATTTTCTGTTGAAACTTATACACAATCTTGTTAAGATGTTGATCTTTATTATCTGAAAGTTTCGTGCGCTTACATTAGAAAATAGCAAAGTTAGAGCGGCGCGTCCAAGACTTTTGGATCACCCCTCGTATCTGTATTTGTAGAACACAATTACATTAAACATAGAATTTAACTCCTCAGGCCTAACACACTTAAAGTATTATCAGCAATAGAACTCATGGGTACTAACAGGAGGCATCAAAACTTTGATGCCAGATCGAAAACTAAATAAATCTAGTTAGGGGGAGGGGGTTCAAAGTCATTTCAGTTTGCTATCTGACAAACTACAACATTTCAAGTTTTTTGCAATTTTGACTCGGAATGCAGCGATCAACTTTTATGGTATTTAGTTCTTGGGGAGGGAGGAGGTCAAAGTCAAAACTAGATTTATTTAGTTTCCGATCGGAAATCGATCATTTGATGCCTCGCCTAACCAGACCTCATGTAAGTTTGTATTAATGGTATCATAGGTAAGACAAGAACTTTATGTATTTGTAAGCTCAGCAGTATGAGCTCAAAGCGGTATCTAAAATGTTCACGATGTGATAAGGTCTTGTTAGAACTTAGTAGTATGATCAGCTTAATGCTTGTGGCATGATGGCGTCTTGTAAGTACCCATGGGACTAATACTTTTACAGGCAACTTGTATATACAAACACATGTCTTTGTTTAAACTTCTTTTAATATACTAATCAATACTCTTCTTTTGTAGAGCACACTTTAATACTTCATTAATATGTATTTCTAGGATGCACAATAATGTTGAATTGTATTTAATTGTGACACACACTATGCAGTAGTATTACTCATTTTGAACTCCATTTGGTGTTCTATAATATAAAAATATCATCTAAAAGAAGCTAAGGTCAAATTAACATCTGATGGCAGAATGAATGTCACTAATAACTTCCTTACCCATTGACATATTTTTAATTGCCATGTATGCGTGATGCATTAACAATTTGCCTTGTTTGGAATTGCTTACATAATCAACTAAATGTTTGCGTATTAATATATCACACTTGCCTTTTGTTGACATTTTGTGCCCCCCCCTCACCCCATAACATGTAGAACCAATCTGGGTGGGAGGGAGGCAAGACTAAGCCTGGTTCAATGCATGTATTATTTAACAGCTGTATAAAAGCTTTAATGACACTAATCGACCACAGGCATTTGAATACTGACTAGCTTCTTCTGAAGTGCATTGTGGGAGATAGCTTTGTTTAATATGATTAACAGTCGTTTATTTTGGTAATTTCCTTCGGGGTTTATTCATAAATGTTAAAGTGGCAGTAAAGAAAATGTATAAAATGTAAGATGAAAGCTCTTCAAAAATATGCTAACACGTCAGGAGTCATGACCTAGATTTGAGATACAGACATTCCCAAATATAACAATTAAAAGGAAGACCCCTTCAGACAGGTAAAGTGACAAGTTTAGTAAAAAATATGACAGGGAATATTGTACCAAAATTATTTTTCTCTAATGTTCCTATCCTTTGCTGTTTCTTTAACATGTGAAAAGCCATTGTAAAAGATTGTTATGCCACCTGTATCTATAATACATAACTGCATGGTGTATAACATAACGTTTAGGAGACAAAGAAACATGGCAGTACTGTAGCACGTACCTGGCTAGGTATTCAGGCTAAACAGCAGTTCAGGTAGCCTTTATTAACAGAACAGGTGGAGGATTGGTGGATTGGGGAGTACATGTATATGTACTTCATATAGTTTTATTCTTAAATGATCTTACTGGCCATTTTTGAATGGTGATTCTATATATTTCACACTGGATTAAACTTGTAATTGGTTTTTCATGTGATCTTCTAAGTTCATTTTTATATTAAAAACTTATATTGGTGATAGGAAGTGCTTCTGCTTTTATCCAACGCTTGTGGATAGTTGCTGTTGGGAAAATGGTTGTTTCTGTGGTGAAAGGTTTTATTCCCATGATCAAATATTGATTCTATTGGTGAAGGGCTAGATTGTATTGAAAGTCTGCAGCTATTGGTGCTTAATGGACATATATATAGCATTCGATGCCAGAAAGGGACTTGTCCTGATCCTGTGTACTCACTAATGTCTGAAATAAAGCTTTTGCTTTAAAAGAACATAACATACACACTGCACGAATTAAAATCATATTTCAGTGCTACTGCACTCGTTATATAAACATACTTTATGTGATTTAGCATTTACTTCAATAATTATATCTTCTTGATGTTGTATACATGTTTGTTGTATACATGTTTTGATTATATGCAAATTCTGTTGTCTTTGTCACTGGGAACCTTTCCGTTAACAAAACACCAAGTAAAATACATACTGGATGTCTAATAGTGCTGGATTGTTGGTGTCTTGGCACTTTTCTAGACATTATAAATATATAATAGATTATTGGTGTCTCAGAACTTCTTACTGGACATCATTTTTGGTGATTTGTTTTATTTTGAAATTGCTGCTATTAAAGTATTCATAGAGAAAAGACTTTTGGATCATTTTGTTCATTGGTCTGTAAACTAACATGTAAATAACGCTAATGACTATGTTGAGAAGAAAACTTATTTTTTGAATACTTGAATATGAGCAGCATTTTCAGTCAGTGTGCCTTGCTTTATTTTGCATGGTCTGTTTCTCATCTGCTATTAACAAACTGATATTTAGAATTGATTTATACTTAATAAACCATCATTTTGCATTTAAAGCTAAATTGAATCTTAATAATCCATCCTATGATTTTTATGAGTATTCATGTTTTGATTACCATAGAATACTAGTACTACTAATACTATATCCTGCGAGCCATTATCAAAAGCTTTTATGAAATGATTAGCATGCTTAAGTCTTTCTTTTAAGTCTTGTTCTTTACTATGACATCATAGTTAATTTGGTTACAACAATTGAATTAGGATTCCTGAATGCTTCTCGTAATGTACCCTTGATGCTTACTTGATGAAACAAAGATTTTTCTTATTTGAGTAGTTTTAGAATAACTTAAAAAATTAACCTAAACTAACTAAACATAGAATTCAAATTAGCAGTATTTTGCTTAGCATGTTTGAAATCTCATTCATATGAACTAAAATGCATCTTATTTGAAAAATTGAATGAAGTCTTTACTTTAAAGCAAAACTTTAAGACTTGTGTATTTTGTGACTACTTTAAGACTTGTATATTTTGTGACTACAGCTATGCAATCACCAAGAATGAACCGGTGACATTCAGCTGGGCATTCCAGAAAACAGATTGGGAATCAGCTTACGAGGGTGATAAAGTCTTGTATAAATTGTCTAATGACATAGCCAAGATTTACAGTATTTCCGTCACAAACACCATAGATGGTGGGGCTACGGAATGTAGATCCTGCCCAAAGGGGACAAAAGATGATCAGTAAGTGATATGTCTTAAGTTTTCATAATGCAAAAATTACAAACTATAATTTTACTTTTTCTGTGTAAATTCATCACTCTGGTAATATATTAATAATAACCTAAGTTCATTTACTTCAGAGTAAAATGTTTTATTTTCGACTTTTAATTTTACTCTAAATTACAAACTATAATTGTACATAGACTTTACCAGTAGGACAACATTTCCTGTGAATTATGCTTTATTGTCTCCCTATCTTGACTTCTAATGTTAGAATAAATTAGTTGCAGTAAGACTTACTACTCGACACACCAGAGTATACCTGCTCTGTATATTTCCCACTTTGTATATCATGCCCTGGCAAAGGCATCAATAATTCTGTTGTCCTTTACATCAGGTGTGTACCCTGCCCTGCTGGCCAGTACATTGAACCAAATTCCACACAGTGTAAGACCTGCCCTGCCAATACAATCATCCAATCAGACCAGCCTTGGGGGAAAGAGGCTTGCCATTCATGTGGCCAGGGACTACAGGCCAAGGACCATCAGCTTTGCTACAGTACATGTCAGTATACAGACAAAGCTGGTCGTCAGTATGACTTCAGACAGTTAAACAGGTAACATCTTGAAGACCAAACAATTTTTTCTGAATAGAAATATTTTTATTATTTGAATATTTAAAACACATTTATTTTGTGGTCCTTCGGTAGTCATTATATATTAAGGTTTAATGTGCATTACCTAATAATGATTTATAAATTACACCAGCAAAGATTTTTTGAGCACTAGAATCAAAAAGAAATTATTGTATAATTGTGATATAGTGCCTACATTATGAGAACAAAAATGGAATACGGGAAAATATTTTGAAAAATGTTCAAATTCAATTTTTCAGCCCAACAGTGCTAGCAGGAGCTCGTTTGTTCACATCTAGTGGTACTCAGTATTACCATACCTTCAACATCAGTCTGTGTGGCCATGAGGGACTAGGAGAGGCGCTTTGTGCTAACAATGTCACACAGAGTTCGGATGGGACAGCTGAGGTATGTATCTTCTGTGAATAAACCTATAAGATACCTGTCATGATGGCATTGTTTCCATGGTTACAGACATTGTGTTCATCCTTGTTTTGGGACCTTCATACCAAACTGGATGTGCTTGCTTTCTTAAAATCTTTATTTGCAATCTATTCTAATACATTTCATTTTTAATATTTCTCTATACATTATATTATTTTGATTATGGAGGTTTTTAACATTATTTAAAGCTCAGGAAGGCTATAACATATTTACCCTAATAGAGGTCTAATAATCATAACCTTTACTTTGCATGATTTGTAGCAGAATGACATCTCAGGTGGAAACAAAGTAGGCAATATATTCCCTTATATGGTAATATGGTGATGGTTAATGCTTAATATGGCACTGTTTGCACATTTAACAGTCACTCTCTCCAAATTTGGGCTGAATTCTTTGAAAACAATGGTCTTGAAGACTGTCAATAGATGGCATGAAACACAGTTGGTTATATTGTATATTACATTGTAAATGTTGAACATGAATTATGTGAAATGTTATACCGTTACCTTATGTATAGAATATTACCTTGTGTGTCTGTTTTAATTGTTTTGACAAAAACTTGTACGAAAGTGTATGAAATATCTTTATAATTACATCTTTGTGCTTTGCTTTAGGTGGTTGGTAATGATTTATAGGTTATGTAATAGGAATACTATCCTTGCAGAAAAACTGTTATTTTGTTAATTGTCTGCAAAATGGTTAATCCATTTTAAGACTCCTAAAGAATGCTATTTTCAGGAGAAAAAGAGGAGAATTTCATTATATTTTCAATTCTCCCTGTTAAATTTGTTCATAATCAGTTATCACTTTATCAAATGGAATGATTTGTACAGAATTGTACAGTGTAGAATTTCTCTGCACCCCTCATTAACAAAGATATGTAGACTTTATACATAGATGTACAGCACCTTATATGTAGAGTACTTCACACGTTCCAATCACATTCACAAAATAAAAATTCTCATTGTTAATTGCTTGTACTATTTTTTGTAGTCTTCCAAATCGGATGAAGCCCATGGAGTGCAGTCCATGATTTGTCGCTCAACTCTTATTCCTCCTCGTATGAATGAACAGGGAGAAAGCATATCAGCCCAACCTGTGAGGTAAAAATGCCATCATTTTAGCACTTTGTTGTCAGTAAAGTTGTAAATAAGACATCATGCTGCAAGGTTTTGACCTTGTGGAAATATCATTAAGTATATTTTAAAGTGCTTTTGGTTTCAATTTTGTTTCTCACATACTCCACAACCAGAAATTCAATGCTGAAATAAAAGCAACAGTCTATTGATGTTGTAATGTGTTTAAAACTTCTTCAAAATTCAAGCGACAGTTTATTCATGGTGATATTGTGTTTGTAGCCTTGGAGACCATCTTTTAAACATCACTAACTCCTCAATGAAAACTGAATTGGAGGCTGCTGGTTGGACAAAAGATGAATATGACCTTGACCTTCATTTCACATATGTCTCGTCAGAGTAAGTAAAACATCATTAGTTATCTACATTCTTTCTTTATAGATAAGTCTCAGAGAATTTGAGGTTCACTTTGAAAAAAGGATTCGGTGTACTGAAAAAAGTAATGCAATAATAGCACAAATAAAAAGATTAGTTTGTCTGAGCTTATTGATTATTGATTGATGTTGTACATGATTTTGGATTGTAACATTGTAAAATTATTCTAAATACTTGTTAACCAAATATTTTTACTATTATTAGTAAGAAATGTTTAATATATTTTGTTCTTGTTAATAGATCTACAAAAGCTTGTCCGGATGGTCGCTACACAGTAATCCATCTCCGTTGTGACGTCAAAGAATCTGGGTCAGGTACCCTAGAATTGCCTCCTAAATGCCCTGATGGAACGTGTGATGGTTGCACATTTCATTTCATGTGGAACAGTAAGCACGCTTGCCCACAGTGTCATGAAGATGATTATGATGTCGTTAAGGGAGAGTGCCACCAGGGGGAGCAAATCATTCATTATTACCCACCCAAGTAAGTCTATATATGGTAGCCATTGTTAATCTGTCCAGGTTCTTCAAGCAATGTAGTGCCAAAATTGGATTATTGTACAGTGTATAGTACTATGTATTTTTAAATTGTAAATTCTTTCTCAAAATTTTCTCTTTATTACCCATTTTGGGCATCAGCCATATGCGAGTACATAGATGAGATATACAAGATTAGATAACTTTTTCTGTAGTTTTCGGCGTTGGTCTCCAGTCAAGTATGTGTAAAAGAAATACATTCAATTTTAGTGGTTCTAAAATGTTATTACACTTAATAAATGTTAGTTGTTTTGTACAGAGAAGTAATTAAGGTCTCTCCCTCTCTTATAGAATAATATTATGTTTTTCACACTATGTTCCTTAAGTCACATACTGTTGACAATCTTAATGAGGCCATCTATATCTAAAATCTGTCCCTCCTCATATATGATGTTTCCTGCATTCCTCGTCATATCGTCATTTTTAAAATTAATTTGCTTTACTTGTAGGCACTGTGTATTGATGGGAGATGGAAAGCCTGTAACGAAAAAAATGAAATGTCCAATCCTGCCCTTCTTTGTAAGTACTCATTATCACTGTGTAAAATATACAAATGTATACCCCTATAAAACATATAATGGTTATTCATACAATTAGGATGACCTGTGTAATTTTTAGGTCCACTTCTCCCAGAGATTTTGATATTAGAATCAAATGACAGATTTGTGTGTAACTTGTATTTTAATTTATCCGATGGATACTAAATATATATATGGGGATAACGACACAAGATAATTCCGTATGCGCCACTAAAATTGTATCCGATCCATATGACGCGATATCCAATTGTATCCTAAAGATACTATTTAAAAAACATTTTGAAAAAAAATTTGAAAAAAAAATTTAATTTGAAAAAATAAATAAAATGTTGAAAAAATGTTAAAAATGAAAGAAATTGGAAAATTTCTTTTAAAAAATAGTAAAGAAAAATTGTGATAACCTGACTTGTCTGTTTGACAATAAGAATAAGTGTAAGAATAAGTGTAAGAATAAGTTCACAGAAAATAAAATGAAAAAATTAGAAAATAAGATTATAAAACAACAACTTTTAGGTTTAATTATTTTAAGTCCATACAAAAATAGCGACCTTAGGATAAATATGATATCCTATGATTTTCTCGGCTATCATTTTTATCCACTCTTGGATATCGCTGATCTCCACTCATTCGCTGCGCTCACTCATAGAGATGGGTGATATCCACTCATGGATAAAAATGGTATCCAACAAAAATCATAGGATATCCTCTATGTATTTGGATTTACCTGTCAGTTTGATAAACTGTAACAGAAGCTACATCAACATGCTTATAAGTTTATTGCTAAATTATGTTTGTCTCTTAAAGCATGATGATGGCATATATCTCAAGGTATATAGCACTGCCATATCTGGTTAATGTGTCAGAGTGAACTGGTACTCAAAACAAACCCCAATAGTAAATGTAAATGGGCATGTTAAACTTGTCAAAGGCTGTCTACATGGGTTAACATACTTCTTCAAAATTCTGGATTTTATTTGGTGAAGTAGATGTTTTGCTTAACAAAGAAAGGTCTTGGGAGCAAGGTTAGAGTTCACTGAAAGACTTTCAATTTTGCTGGGCTTTGTTTATTTAGAATTAGTTGCTCAGTCATTTCTGTGGTTACCTGGTTACTTAATAAAATGGTGGAAACTTTAGTTGGTTTTTAAAGCTGGATTGGCAATAAATGATTCAACCGGAGTTAAAGATAAAAATTATGTGGTTCCCAATCATGCTTTAAACTTATTCCAAATTGATAAAGTTATTAATATTATCAAATGCCCTTTTAAAATTCAATTAACCAATAGGCCTGTAAACTGAAAGTTAATTTTATTTTTGTATTTTATTGAATTGTGTTGTAGGCTGAGGTTGCTATAGCTGGAGCCACCTTACTGGCAGTTCTGCTTATCACCGTGCTCGTCTATTGTTGGAAGAGGAACAGGAAGTGAGTAGAATTTTACATAGAAATTTTTATCACACCATCGGTGGGATATAGTCGTCATACTGGTCGTGGTCGTGATCGTCCCGCTTTTTGTCATCGGCGTTTAAGGAAAACTGCTCATCAGATTTTCTCGAAATTCGCAGAGATGATAGAGCATATGAAGTACTAGAGCTGATTAACTTTTGGGTGGCCATCTTGTTTTCTGGCGGCCATTTTGAAGGTTTTTCGAAAAATCTTGTCATCGCCATTTCAGGAAAACCGCTCATTGGATTTCCTTCAAATTTACACAAATGATAGAGGATATCAAGTACTAGAGCTGATTAACTTTTGGGCGGCCATCTTGTTTTCTGGCAGCCATTATGAAGATTTTTCGAAAAATCTAGTCATCGCCATTTCAGAAAATCCGCTCATCGGATTTCCTTCAAATTTACACACATGATAGAGGATATCAAGTACTAGAGTTGATTAACTTTTGGGCGGCCATCTTGTTTTCTGGTGGCCATTTTGAAGGTTTTTCGAAAAATCTTGTCATCGCCATTTCAGGAAAACCGCTCTTCGGATTTCCTTCAAAGGACGATTCTCGGTTTGGAGAACGAAGTTCATCAATCTAAATGAGCATTATCCCTGCTTCGGACAAAGGACGATTCTCGGTTTGGAGAACAGTCTCCTGGGCTAATAAATTTTTTTTCATGAAAAATATAGAAATATTACCCAAATTAAACTATGAATATTCAAAAGAGGACATTTAAATCTACAAGATGTAAAAATAACAAATTGGTCTGAAGCAGGGATAACGATCAATTAGACCGATTCAATAAAATACAAGTCTCGATTTGGGGAAAAAAGTTCATAAGTGTACTGCGCTAATATTTTTTTTGCGAAAAATCTAGAAATATTACCCAAATTAAATTATGACCATTCAAAAGAAGACCTTCAACTCTATATTATGTAAAAAAATCAAATTTGTCCGAAGTAGGGATAATGCTCATTTATATTGATGAACTTCGTTCTCCAAACCGAGAATCGTCCTTTGATTTTTTTACATAATATAGATTTGAATGTCTTCTTTTGAATAGTCATAATTTAATTTGGGTAATATTTCTAGATTTTTCGCAAAAAAATATTAGCGCAGTACACTGATGAACTTCTTTCCCCAAATCGAGACTTGTATTTTATTATCTTATCGAACGAAGTTCGGAGGGATATAGGGAACGCCTCCGTCCATCCGTCCGTCCATCAGTACGTCCGTCAGTCCGTCCGTCCGTCCGTCCGTCCGTCCGGGCAATAACTCAAATACCGTTGGCCCAATTTTGTTCATATTTTGTACACATATACCCTATGGGGGTAGAAGTTCTGCTCGAAAGCCGATTTTCAAAATGGCCGCTCATTTCAAAATGGCGGCCATTTTAGTGCCGATTTTACAGTAATTTAGGTGTAATATGGAAAACTGTTATAGCAATATGTTTTAAATGTAAAAAAATTATAAAGGACATTAATAATGCTACAAATGTAGATATTAAAGAAGCACATGGCAGCCATCTTGAAAAATGGCGGCCTTTACTCGTCATTTTTTGATTTTTGCTATAACTCAAAAAATAGTGGAGCGATTTTGTTCATATTTGGTATGTGCATACTATAAGCATTGCACACTGTCTAAAAACACTTTTGGTAGAAGGCGGCCATTTTGAAAAATGGCCGCCATTTTAACGTATTTTACTATAACTCGAAAAGTAGTGGAGCGATTTTGTTTATATTTGGTATGTGAATACTATAAGCATGGCACACTGTCCTATGACACTTTTGGTAGAAGGCGGCCATTTTGAAAAAAAAATTGAAAACGTATTTTACTATAACTCGAAAAGTAGTGGAGCGATTTTGTTCATATTTGGTATGTGAATACTATAAGTATGGCACACTGTCCTATGACACTTTTGGTAGAAGGCGGCCATTTTGAAAAATGGCCGCCATTTTAACGTATTTTACTATAACTCGAAAAGTAGTGGAGCGATTTTGTTCATATTTGGTATGTGAATACTATAAGTATGGCACACTGTCCTATGACACTTTTGGTAGAAGGCGGCCATTTTGAAAAAAATTTTGAAAAATGGCCGCCATTTTAACGTATTTTACTATAACTCGAAAAGTAGTGGAGTGATTTTGTTCATATTTGGTATGTGAATACTATAAGCATGGCACACTGTCTATTTCTAATGACACTTTTGGTAGACGGTGGCCATTTTGAAAAATGGCCGCCATTTTAACATATTTTACTATAACTCGAAAAGTAGTGGAGCCATTTTGTTCATATTTGATATGTGAATACTTTAAGCATGGCACATTGTCTAATAAAACTTTGGGGAGTAGTTGGCCATTTTGAAAAATGGCCACCATTTTTATGTGTGTAATTTTACAAGTATGTGTGAGATTTTTCAAAAATTTTAGAGGTGGCTACTTAAAAGCATATTATTTCTTCTGATGACAACTTGGCTAGTGAGCAACCATTTTAAAAATGGTGGCCTTTCTGGTGTGTTGTTTTATGATATTTGCTATTCGTTTGTAAAAATGCCAGCCATTTCTGTTCGATGGGATTCGCTACGCTTTGGCGTTGCCGTTGTTCTGGTTGAATCGGTCTATTTGAGCATTATCCCTGCTTCAGACCAATTTGTTATTTTTACATCTTGTAGATTTAATTGTCCTCTTTTGAATATTCATAGTTTAATTTGGGTTATATTTCTATATTTTTCATGAAAAAATTTTTAGCCCAGGAGGCTGTTCTCCAAACCGAGAATCGTCCTTTACACAAATGATAGAGGATATCAAGTACTAGAGCTGATTAACTTTTGGGCGGCCATCTTGTTTTCCGGTGGCCATTTTGAAGGTTTTTCGAAAAATCTTGTCATCGCCATTTCAGGAAAACCGCTCTTCGGATTTCCTTCAAATTTACACAAATGATAGAGGATATCAAGTACTAGAGCTGATTAACTTTTGGGCGGCCATCTTGTTTTCCGGTGGCTATTTTGAAGTTTTTTCGAAAAATCTTGTCATCGCCATTTCAGGAAAACCGCTCATCGGATTTCCTTCAAAGGACGATTCTCGGTTTGGAGAACAGTCTCCTGGGCTTATATTTTTTTCATGAAAAATGTAGAAATATTACCCAAATTAAACTATGAATATTCAAAAGAGGACATTTAAATCTACAAGATGTAAAAATAACAAATTGGTCTGAGGCAGGGATAACGGTGCAGTAGACCGATTCAATAAAATACAAGTCTCGATTTGGGGAAAGAAGTTCATCAGCGTACTGCGCTAATATTTCTTTGCGAAAAATCTAGAAATATTACCCAATTTAAATTATGACTATTCAAAAGAGAACAATCAAATCTGTATTATGTAAAAAAATCAAATTTGTCCGAAGCAGGGATAATGCTCATTTAGATTAATGAACTTCGTTCTCCAAACCGAGAATCGTCCTTTACACAAATGATAGAGGATATCAAGTACTAGAGCTGATTAACTTTTGGGCGGCCATCTTGTTTTCTGGTGGCCATTTTGGAGGTTTTTCGAAAAATCTTGTCATCGCCATTTCAGGAAAACCACTCATCGGATTTCCTTCAAATTTACACAAATGATAGAGGATATCAAGTACTAGAGCTGATTAACTTTTGGGCGGCCATCTTGTTTTCTTGTTCTTGAAATTTGTAAACATAATAGGAGAACAGTTTTCCTGGTTCATAGTGTCTGCCTATTTGATGGTGTGATCTCGTTCACGTCCTGTGCCTTGTTCAATTTTCATTCAGATTTTCTTATTTCAGACTTCAGTCCAACTACTTACTTCATCATAACTCAGACTTGAGTATAAATCATGCTATTTATTTCACCTTCATTTATTCAGACTAACATTACTTATTCCTTAATTATATTTCAGACTTGAGTACCATTACTTATTTCATCATTACTTTTCAGACTTGAGTACCATTACTTATTCCTCCATTATATTTCAGACTTGAGTACCATTACTTATTTCATCATTACTTTTCAGACTTGAGTACCATTACTTATTCCTCCATTATATTTCAGACTTGAGTACCATTACTTATTTCATCATTACTTTTCAGACTTGAGTACCATTACTTATTCCTCCATTATATTTCAGACTTGAGTACCATTACTTATTTCATCATTACTTTTCAGACTTGAGTACCATTACTTATTCCTCCATTATATTTCAGACTTGAGTACCATTACTTATTTCATCATTACTTTTCAGACTTGAGTACCATTACTTATTCCTCCATTATATTTCAGACTTGAGTACAAGTACATGAAGCTGGCTGCTGGATCTGGTAAACCCAACATAGATGGAGAGATGGAGCTTCCTGCTGCCGAAACATGCGCACTCAGCGAGGATGAAGAGGAACAGTTTGATGCCGTCAAGTTCAAGGAGAGCAGAGGAAGCAAGTTTATGAACAAACTCAAGAATATCACTGGAAAGGTGTGTATGCTAGAATAACAATATGGTGGCCATTTTTAAAAAGCAAAATAGGGTTGAAATGGGAGAACCAGCAAGGAATAAAGTAATTTTAGTGAATTTACTAAGTGCTAGGGTTGCATTTATTCATTCCTTGCTAATTTCACTCATTCTCACATATTTACTTTTAAAGACTTGGCCACCTTTACCCATCATCATCCTTCATAAAATATTTTTCTCATGTATTTATAGTATAATTAAAGATATTGTACATTGTATGATATTGAGTCACTCATCATACAATTCATAGTTTTCTTATTCAAGTGGATTGTTAAGTATTGCCCCCAGTTGGAACACTAATGCTACTTATGTTAATCAGTATTATTCCCATGTTTTTCATTATAACACTATGAAATATTTTAGGGAGACAGTCAAAATGACAGGTCTTATTTAAATGACTTCTATGTAAGTATATAGTGATTGATTGATTGATTTATTAGGGACCTGGGAACTGCGTGAACTACACCTTATATGTACATATATTTGCATCATGTATGATTATACCTGGTTGGGAATGTCATGGTGGTTATGTTTTGAAATGCAAAATAGAGTGGAAAAAAGAGGAATCCGCCAAATTGCATGCAAATGTAAAAAGATTAAAAAAATTTGAGGGAAAATGTAAAAAATCAAATGCTTTGTTCAAATTTTACAGAAAAAGCCTGGAATTTACATGCCCATCATGACTATTTCCTCATTTGTATATAGAACATTTGACCTTTCTGTCATGAGGTCCATAGTATAAGGAGGTTTGAGGTTTGGCTATGAAAATGTTTGATCGGTGGTTTTAAAATTATATTTTTGGATTTCATGAAACAAATTCTTACAAAGCATCATTATTAAAAACCACTGACAAACTTTCAGGTAGCCCCTCATTTAAAGTCAATAAATTTCACTGACAGTTGGTTATATAGGGGATTTGAGTAACTGTTGAAATATTAAAATGGAAGCAAAATATCCAAATAAGTGACAAACTTTCAGTAGAATTTATTTGACTACCCAGATATGTATGTATCTTTGCATTTTTACATGAGGTTTTTGGAGGTGTTGAGATTTGAGAAAATCATCCATTATAACTCCACCAGCAGTTTTCTCTTAGTTTTTTTGCTATCTGCCCTGCTCCTTTAAATCCAAAGTTAAGAAATATGGAGAGATTTTTATGTCTAGTTAAATAAGTGGTGAGAGGGCAAGGAGGAGTGTCGCCTGTCAGTCACAGGATTCTTTTAGTTAGGGGTGGAGTCAAGCTGAGTCAAATATTAAATGTGTCATAAAACAAGCTAAAAAAACATATAATTTAATGGGTGATAATGTTACACTTATGAGATTTCATTGGTCATAAACTTTAAGAAATAGGGGGAGGAGGATGGGGAGGGAGGAGGATGGGGGAGGAAGACTTTAATCCTTTATAAATTACTTTCTCTATTAAGATTAAGTTGCTGCTTCTCTTCAAATTCATAATTTTATTTTTTATTCATTTATTTGGTTTTGACATAAACTGTTTCCCCAGAATAAATTCATGTTGGCTTTTGAATTCATGAAACTTTAATGTACCTTTGTGTTTTTAGGGGGATGAAGATTTTGAAGATTTGTAAGCGATTTACCTTCCTATTTAATTTAATTTTAAGGTTCATTCAGGGTTTTTATTTTTATTTAATTTTACACCTGTTTTAGTTTACATTTTTACGTTTCAATTAACTTGTAGTGCATTTGCAAGGCACAGATTATTTTGAATTAAGGTAGTTCTGCATTTTGAATAAAGTGTTGAAATGCCATTGGCCCAATTTTGTGTTTTCAACTTTTTTGTGAAATTGCAGAACCTACCTTAAAAAGTAAAAACAGTTTTGGTAATTAAGGATCAGAATTATGTACTGTCCTTTTAAGGTTTTGTTATTTGTATTATAAGTTCATAATTTTGCTTATCATATTGTATGGAAAAGTTCAATGAGATGTGATTGGTGAAGGGCGAGTCCATAGATTTGCAGGTTTTAATGTAATATGTTGATTTTTTTTAAAAATATGAATGAAGTCAAACTCGGCCATGTTTTTCCTTTGAACGTAAACAAGTATTAATGTAGATACTCTTTTCCTTATTTCGTTTCAGGTGGTAGCATATCATTTTTATTGCATTTTGTTTTTGGTGTACTGGTTGTTGTATTGGTGCAGGGAATTTCAGAAATTATTCAGAATGAATGAAATGTGACAATATTTTCATTATATTGATCAGGAAACATCACTTAAAGAATTTCACCTCTAAACCTTTGTTTATAGAGAATTCAATGGGATAAACAGAGATGTAATATTGTGTTGATTAATGTGTTTTCCATTGTGTTCCAGGGAGGCGACAACCCGTTTGAATCAATTCAACTGACAGACAAAACCCCATTGACATAATAGCAGTACTACATAGGCTATCTACTACATATATCCATATCATATTAAGCTTCTGAAACACTATATAACAGTCTGGAGGGCAAAAATATATAAAATCCTTTGGCAGGCATAAATAGGAGGAAATGCCCCTTGTAAATGCCCAGATAAGAGGAATAACAAAACTTAAACAGAAAAAATAATTTCCAAGATTTTTCTAAATTGGATTCATTTTGCCAGTTATTTTCAATGCATGGAGACTCACAGATGAGGAAAACATTTAAAAATCTTTGCAGACTTATTCATTGATGTGGAAGCATAGCAAAGAATAAGAAACAAAGCAAAGAATATTAAATGCATAGAAAGACAGCTGAAGAGAAACTAAGACATGAAATATGATTTCCATTATGACATGCCAGATATTTGGCCAGCATGGCGGCATTGTTGAGGTATTAGTGCAATTCAGTTGGTGATCTAAATATGAGCTTATAATTCAGAAAAATAAAATATGTAATGAGCAAATTAATTTTCAGGCCATATGAGTAAAACTTTAGATCAATCTAGTAGATCCTGCCATCTATTAGTAATGATGTCATTCTTTCAGTTTTGTTGCAGAAATATAATTTGATCTTCAAAAACAATTTTATGTACAAACATTATCACCTGCAAAGTATGACATCATGATATCAATGATTCCTCGGTTCACCAATAGGGGTCAGGACTATCTAGAAAGGTCTATTGTTATTTTCATCTCTGGTCTAAATAAAAGTTTGAAGTGTTGAAAGGTAAAGCAGTACAGTGAAGAGCAGTAATTGAGTTAGTTAGTTAGCTAGTTAGGGCATTGTCTTCTGTAAATAAATATGATAACTTATCCCTCAAATGTAATTATTATTAATATGTTCAACTTATTCATTTTCATGTCTATGATCCCCAACTATTATTTGTAAACTTTATTCCATGAACTTAATTACTATTACATTGTTCATCATCGGGAACATACGTGTATATTATATTATTATTTACTATACTATTTATACATGTACTCTAAGACATAGATATATACACTAAGTAGAGTATTATGGGGCCTGTTTTATAGATCACTTGAAATCCTCAGTGTATTATTATTCATTCATGTCTTATAAGCTATCTAGGACATTGATATTGGGATAATTTTTGATCCTGCCACCTATTGAGTAAGATATCATGGGTAATTTCAAAAATTGTTCTCTGAGTTGTTTAAATTATAAACTGTGTCTGTGACATCATCATTATTAGGATTTACTAGAAAAGTATTGCAATAATATTAAACATTCCTTACGATATGATCTGTCTTCTTTTACATGTGTACTCAATTCATTCATATATTACGTATACTTTTACTCCCTAATTGAATGTTTTCTTTATGTATATACTATGTACATTACCACATACATGGGAACATAAGAAGTATAGCTTAATTGTGTGTTTTGTATTATATTTTGTTAATGTACTTGTGATTGGAATTATCATGGAAGATGAGATTATATCTAGGCCCCATGCAATATTGAGTTAAGAGGTTATAACTTACATAGGGCCTTTTAATTATTGTGACAAAAGCAAATCCATCGACTAGAAATCCTTTGAATTTGGAGCATCTCACATTTATGTTGAACTCCACATAAAAGTTTGTCAATTTTACAGTTATGTCTGAACTTGATCCATTTGTATTTGACTTCAAGAAAGTGTTTTTTGTTTGAGATTAATCCTTTATATTATCAATCCCTACTATTCACTACCATCATTCCCAAACATTATCCTTAATATTATCAATCCTGTATTAATTCTAAATATTATCAGTCCCAAAATTGTCAGATTATTTTAATAGTGTTTAAAATCTAATTAATTAAAATTAACTAGGGTTTCAGTAAATTGTACTATATAAATGTATGTATTGTGAATTTTTTACCAAAACATATTCCATTTATAGAACATACATGTTCTAGTTGAATAAGGTTTGCCAAATTCTAATTGTAACTTTTTCAACTAAAATATTGCACAATCTTATTCTGTTGGTGGAGGGGCCATTGTCATGTAATTGTAATTTTGTGTATATTGTTTGATATACTGAACAAGTGATAATTTTCCCAGGATGAAATTTTATCGTTTTTGTCCAAAATTTAAGGTGATGAAAATAAATTTTATTGAAATCTTTAATTTGCTGATGTTTTACATGTTTTTACTGTTGTCTGCATTAGGAAATATTTCTCATGGTAAAATTATTTCTTGTACAGTGTTTTAAAAAAACTCGGCTGACTGATGACATGTTAATATAAACCTAATGTTTTTGTTTTGAGTTCAACAGAATATCAAAAATATACATGTAACTACTAGTCAAAGCAAATATCTCAATACTACAAACATGGCTAGACTTCATAAAAGAGTCTCAGTTATGCATAAATTAATAGCTTATTGTTATTATTAATATGTGACCTGATTTGTGCAATTTGCAGCATTTTACAATCAGCAGGCATTACAAATGTACATTAACTTTACAATCACATTCAATATATCATTAACAAAGGATACGATGGATTAAAACTGTAAATAAATTTTACATCACTCAACATTTTATTTTGTTTTTGTTCATGAGGGGTTGTCAAACATGTAGTTACCATGACATCGGTGCAATGTATGTAAACAAAATTGATATAACTCTTCCATTAGCAATAACTTTATTGTCTGAGAAAGTAACATAACCAAAACATGACATGATTTACTGGTCTATTAATCTCTTTTTTGGCATAAATGTGTATTAATTATTGGAAGTGAGTGTATTCCAACTATCCCATAGCAATGATTTACCAGAAGTCTTTATTTTCTTCATTCTTGTTCTGCAAAAAACATTAACTACTCCAGGGCTATTAGTTGCATATACTATGTTTAGTAATGATTTCTTTGTCAAGGTCTACTCTAGATAAATATCTATTGATCAAGATGTCAATATAAAGAATCTGAGTTAAATACAGCACAAAATCATTTTTCATGTATATTTCACATGGTCTTCCTGTCATGAAACATCAAACTGGATCTCTATCTCTATGAATATGTTGTCACATTTTTTCAAATGGAAACAAATGACTTTGATCAACCTTAGAAGTTTTCTTTTTATTCACAGATTTCTCTTTTTCTCTCATAATGTTTCTAGGCCATGATTTTTGAGCATCAGTGGCTTCCTGAGTTTCCCCTGAGGGAGGTTTAGCACCAGGTTTACTTTTGCTTGTATCACTTGTTTTTGTAGGTGACTGATCATTTGTTGGATCTTTCTCCTGAAATAATACATAGATGAAATCTAATTAAGATCATTTAAATCTTCTGGAAAGGTAGAGTTGTTCATAAATGCATTGTACTTTGTAGTACCTAAAATTGAGAAATCAAAACACATTCCATATATATTTTGTATTCAACCAAGATTAAGGAAGTAATATTTCTCAAGAAAGCTCAGTACAAGCATCACACATAACAGGATATCCTTGTTAAACACAAATTCATGCCTGGAAAAAATGAAAATATGTCTGCATATACCTCAAGATCGAATCTTTTCTTTAGTTTTTCTTTGATCAACATCCCCTTTATGAGCAGCTTCCAGTTCTTCAAGACCCGATCTTGTCTCTTTTTCCTTTCCTTTTCCCGCTCTATTTCTTGCTGTTCATCCCAAGCAGCTAACAAGATATCTTTGTGCTCCTCACATACTATCCAACCATCAAGGCTGAAATGGAATACAGAACGATCATTAATTGGACATATTTTTAAAAAAGTTCTTTGACATTAAACTGCTCCAATAAAGTCTCAATATTATGGTGTGAACTAAATAATACCAAAGATAACAATTACATATATCTTAGTTCCAACTTTCTGTGTTCAAAATGTTTGTAATTTGAGCTGATTCCCTGAAAAAGTTGTGCAAGACTAAAATAATCTTACATGGGGTGTGACCAGCCCCCGTGAAAGTCCCAACCAGTCATAGCAGCAGCTATATCAATGTCTAACTTCTTCGCAATCTTGTTGAGGTTCGCTAAACGTAGATGGACAGTACCTATTGGCAACATGGATGGTTTAAACATCTCAACATTTCCATATTCATTCTTGGGAACCTTACCCTGGAAAAAACAAAATTGGATGAAACACAAATGCATCTGGAGGAGTGTCACTTACGTTTTGGGGAATATATTCCCCAGGGGGAAATTTCATAGCCGATATCTTATAAAAGTTAACCATGATTTTGATTGGTTCTTTTGCAGTTAATAATTGTAAATGTTTGTTATTGATAGGGGTTTTCAGAAATGTTTTAATTGAAAGGAAAATTTAAAATCCAAACCAATTTGAAAGAAATGTCACCCAGATCATCAATTCAGAGCCAAAAGAAAAGTTTCATACATCAAAAGCAGGCGGCGGCATGTATTCCTCCGTCTGCCAAAGTCCATATAGAGGGAGCTCCGGTGTGTCTTCTCCATTATCCAGTATAGATGCACGCTTCCGCGGATTTACACGCTTCTTGACCATTTTGTATGGGACCTCACCAACTCTGGGTACAATAATCAAGAAATAATTTCATAATATTATGTTACAGGGTTAATTTGACAAAAAAAGTTATGAGTATAATGAACTAGTTCTTGAAGGACATCCCTAGGTGTTTTACTTGTCATTGAAAATACACCCAAAGTGTTGTTGGATACATGCATATTTGCCCCTTTTTGCTAAATTCAATATATTTCTAGTATAAAGCATGACTCCCCATTCCAATGATGAAATAAAATATTTTATCCACCTGACACTCCTGGCCTCCTTGATCCAGGCCTCTCTTGCATGCAACTGATGCACACACTCTCTGGCATAAACTGGTTCCCCCCGGATGAAACCAACTGGAACGGAAGATTCTGGATATATCGCCTCAAATTTCAATAGGTGGCGCTTGAGTGCATACAATGGGTGATTCTTGAATTCACCAATGGATGTTGGAAGTGGTTGTTTCACAAAATTCATTCTGATTATATTATCCTCTGCGTTATCTCTGCTCTTATTGGTTGGTTTGAATGGCTCGAGTGTTTCTACCCACCATTCCTCGCTGACACAGAGTTTGCGGGTATGTGACATCCAATTTGTTGCATACTTCTGACTCAAATCCTTTATTTTGCTATCTGAAAATGAATATAAATGTTTCCTCAAAAATTATTTTGCACTTAAGTATTTATTTTTTATTTAAATACATGTACTGAATTTCAAGCTGGCCATGATCAAAGAGGAAAACATTATATATATCTATATATATTATTATTATGTGTCGACTATTATACTTGACATCGAATGAGCCAAGCATTACCATTATCAATGCCTATGACGTAGACTACAGGTTTTGTAGCTCTTTCCTCCATCTTTTCTGGTCGTCCTATATCTCCATGGAAACAGTCAATACATTTCCATTTTCTCTCAGATTCTATGTAAACTTCCAGCCAAACATCTGTACCTGGAAATACACATGTATTCGGACAGTGAAATCAATGACTATCAAATGTTTAATATCTAACAAGACAAAGAATTTGAATCTGTCCTTCTGAAAAATAAACTGAAATTGAAATGCAAATTATTACCCTATCTCATCTAATTCTTTTAATATAAAAGGGAATATATAGAGGTTATTTAATGGGAGGTTTTTGATACAGGGTATATCTGAGGGAAATACAATATATCACCTGAGGAACCGTAGGCACCGAGGGTTGATAGATTGTACTTACCAAGGGATATACCCTGTATCAAAAATCGAACATTTAATAATGATTTATCCTATACTTAGTGAATTATGAAGATTAGTAGATTATTAAGTATGCATTGAATGTTATGGAACGCTCAAGTAATAATTACAAATGGTAACTACGATCAAAACATAAATATCTTATATCGATGTAAAGTTCTTCACAGCTATTGTTTTTTTAAAACTCCACACTTAAACGTAAAACGAAATTCCCGGGAATTGGTGAGCGGTAGATATATATACAAGGGGCGATCCATATATTCTGATAAAAATGCTCTATTTTTGTGATTTTTTATCATATCCCTTTCATTTTTTCAGAACAGATCAAAACATGAATGTCTTATATCGATGTAAAGTTCTTCACAGCTATTGTTTTTTTAAAACTCCACACTTTTAAACGTAAAACGAAATTCCCGGGAATTGCTGAGCGGTTGATATATATACAAGGGGCGATCCATATATTCTGATAAAAATGCTCTAATTTTGTGATTTTTTTCACATATCCCTTTCATTTTTTCAGAACATGTAGATTAAGTAATTACACATACAATGCTAAAATATTATAGCTATACCTGAAATTAATTTTGAGATACGGTTGCCATGGTAACCTGTATTTAGGGTAGGCGGGTCAGTTAAATTATAACACATAAATTGGATTTTGTTAGTTTAATCATTCCTTGGTACCTATTTTAAGCAGATCAAAGGCATCCTCGGGTCATTGCCAACTATTTGTTGAACTGTTCCATACCACTGTTGCCCTTGTTTGCATATTTCCACAGTCGGATAGTTCTCTCTTCATAAATTTCGTCTCAAATTATTGTAGTGTTATTCTCTGTCCGCAAGATCCTCTTGCAACCAAATTGTGGATGGTCGTCAACAGTGACCATGCCTTCCTCAAATTTACAATACTACTTATAGATTCTTGGAGCAGATATAACACCTTGCCGATACACTCTACAAATGCATGTTTGTCTCTGACATTGTCCTATTCTTGATAGTACATAAAATCTAATAGTACTTCCTATGTATCTGTAATGTCACACTCTGCATCAGCCAAACTAACTTCATCTGATATTTAATTTTTGATTTTTGGTGTGTCTCATGACATGTAATGCCAATTGGCCCATTATGTCATACATTGTTGTTGTGATGTTATTGTGAGCACAAATAAACATTTGTTTAGCAACAAACAACAACTAGCAAAAATACCAAACTTGTTTAGAAAAAATATATGATTTCCACATGCTTTAAAATAATCAAAATAACAAGTTATTATATTTTATACGTTATAATTGAATTGACCTGCCTACCCTTAATACAGGTTACCATGGCAACCATATCTCTTATTCAATTTAGGATATAGCTGTTATATTTTAGCATTGTATGTGTAATTACATAATCTACGTTTTCTGAAAAAATGAGAGGAACATGTGAAAAAAATGAAAGGACCCACGGTCCTGTGCTCACACAGTTTGGAACCTTCAGAGGAATGTATATCCTGACTTTCAAACAAAAATATTGATTTGGATTTGTAGTCTCGAACTTTGAGAAACTTAGATAGAACAGTTGTGTGACCTAGTTTGATGACCTTTGACCTTGAAAATTTTACTTAGTCAGAGCTCAGTAAGGTCTTTTTTGATTAAGCTGACAAAAATTTACATCCAAAAATCAATTTGAAAAATCAACTCTTTTGACCTTTCGAAGGTCACTTAAGGTCAAATAAAGGTCAAATCCTAAAACTAATGTCAGATTTGAACTCCTGGCAACTTGTAGATGATTTTCAAAAAAAATTTGGTTAAATTGAAGCAAGTTGAAAAATAACTTATTTTTACTGTTTTTTGACATCAAATATCTCAAAAATGGTAAAAATTTGATGCTGACATATATTGAGCAATATGTAGGGAATGCTTAAATCTAGTAATAATGTATTGTAAGAAATGATCAAGTATAAGGCAAACTTTGAGAAACTTGTCAATCACAAAACCTGCCATTGACTTTATACATGAGAAAGTTTCCTGAAAATGACTAAGTCCTACTTTTTGTCAAATTTTATAGAGTAAACACCAAAAACTGTAATTCCAAGAGCTTTGAAATCTTCAGAGGACATAAGTTGCATATAAAGCAACTACTACAAGTTATTTGAAAGTTCTTCTTCAACAAAGTGTCTAGTATTTACAGAAAATTTGACTTTTTGACTTAAAAATCGGCAATTTCTCGGAAACTGGGTGAACTTGGGAAATGGCGATGATAGGTCAAATAGGCATTATGAATATGCATAAAATAAATGTGGTTATGACTCAATCCGAATAGCAGTTTTAATTTGTGCGGCCAATGTTGACGGACGGACGGACGGACGGACGGATGGACGGACGGACCAACGGACGGACGGACAGACGCCTGGTCGATCCCATAGGCTCACTGTGTGAGCCAAAAATCCTGAAATGAGAGCATTTTTAACAGAAATTATGGATCGCCCCTTGTATATCTCCTGCTCACCTCAGCGGGAGATATATATATCACCCGTTCACCTCAGATATCAATTATATTCCCCGCATGTTATTAACCTATAACACTACTAAGTATGGGATAAATACATATATATCAGACCTCCCTTATGCCACAGATTGTCTCCATCGCATGTCTCTACCGAAATCAACCACCTTGTACATTATGAAATATATGAGAAGTTCTGAATTACAATTAGATGGAAGAAACTTAAACAAGCATAAACATATTAGCCAAAGGCAAAAATAAAGTACATGTATACGGGTAGACATAAGACTAGATGCAAGTAGAAATCATCTTGATTTACATCATTAAAACTAAAACTTCAGTCAAAGTGATGTCATATTTGAAATCTACATGTAAAAGTACATCTAAAAATGTGGTTTTAAAAAATGGTTGATCAATGTTGAAAATTTAATTTTCTTGCCTTCTGTGACTTCTAGGTCAGGGTGATTTCCCTTAGGTTATTTAGCATCCAATGTATTTAGGTCATTCAATTAAGCAGTTTAAAAAAATAAAGGACCCACGGTCCTGTGCTCACACAGTTTGGAACCTTCAGAGGAATGTATATCCTGACTTTCAAACAAAAATATTGATTTGGATTTGTAGTCTCGAACTTTGAGAAACTTAGATAGCACAGTTGTGTGACCTAGTTTGATGACCTTTGACCTTGAAAATTTTACTTATTCAAAGCTCAGTAAGGTCTTTTAAGATGACCAAAATTTACATCCAAAAATCAATTTGAAAAATCAACTTTTTTGACCTCAGGTCAAATCCTAAAACTAATGTCAGATGTGAACTCCTAGCAACTTGTAGATGATTTTCAAAAAAAAAGTTTGGTCAAATTGAAGCAAGTTGAAAAATAACTTATTTTTACTGTTTTTTGACGTCAAATATCTCAAAAACGGTGAGAATTTGATGCTGACATATATTGAGCAATATGTAGGGAATGCTTAAATCTAGTAATTTGTGCGGGCAATGTTGACGGACGGACAGACGGACCAACGGACGGACGCCTGGTCGATCCCATAGGCTCACTGTGTGAGCCAATAACTCATTTGTGTTTGATTTTAGGAAAATTATTAATTTCTAGTCAACAAGTATGTTCAAATATCAATTAAATTCCCAATGATTGTTTAAATGATTTTGGTATAACATAAATCACCATCTCTTTTAGAATTAAAGATGGACAATGTTAACAAAAATCAGTGTGATTTATCTCCAAACTTTACAAACGAAAGAAATTGGCAAACATTTCTTTTTGATAGCAGCATGCCAACTTACAATAATTAATGATTTTCTTAATAGAAATGTGTTAGTGTTTTATAGAATGATCTGTGTTTTATAGTTTTCAAGTGTGAAAATGGGGAAAAAAACACAGAAAAAACATGGTAAGTATATTTGTTATTATACTAGTGTTATCACTCATGTTTGGTTATTTAGCATCCAATGTACAGGATGACCCAAAAAATGCAACTCTCCATTTCTTCAATATTTTTCTTAAATGGAGGTTAATCGCTCTGAAATTTGGCACACAAAGACTTCATACAATGTGGGATCCTCTGGCAAAGTTTTAAAAATATTCAAAATAGTTCCAAAATATGCTCCAAATGTCGTCCATTTCCAATGTTTAGTTTTCGGATGAACCACATTTCCTTCTTTCTGAACATGTAAACTCAAGAAATAATGTGTTCTGGGATCACAAATTCCAGATGAAGTGCTTCAAAAGCCCCCTTCATTCTGTTAAATGCACAGCCTGGGCTGCCAATTTCCAAACATGAAATCATCACCCCCTTTTGGTTTGAGGCTGATAATGGCAACACTGTTACTGTTAACACACAGCACAATATTGGCGTTCCAAGGAAGTTCTGGGCAGTTCTAGAGAGACATAGACAAAAACAGTGGTTCTAGAAGGATGGAGCTACTCCTCACACTTCTAATGATAGCATAGCCTGGCTCACTAGTCATTTCTATGAGAAGATTATCTATTCTAGGACGGAGAACCCATGGTCATCCCACAGTCCTGATCTCAAAGTCCCTGACTTGTATTTATGGAGTTATTTAAAGGAGAATGTGTATGAAAATAACCCTACCACAATATTGCAGAACTCCAACAAGCAATGGCCGCAAAAATTTGAGCAATACCCATGGGGAAGAATGCATCCATGTTATGAACAGTTTTGTTTGAACATTGTAAGTTCACGGGTAGT